TGGATCCCAGTTATACAGAAAGTGTCCCATAATATCACAGATGCTTTATGCCAAATATTTTGTTTTAAATTATAATATGGTTTCTTTATTACATTGAGGTATTCTAAATGACTGGATAGTTTACATTTCTTCCCATAAAGAAAGGCATGTCCAGTGAGATTGTATTTTCTTTGAATATAAAGCCCATATTACATAAGAACCTGCTTTTTGAAGTCCATGTGCTTCAAAACTGATTTACCATGTGGCATGGCAGCTGCTATTCAAGAAACACATGCTCAAAGCTCTCTAGTGTATGTGGAACTAATTGTACTGCTTTTTGGATCCCAGCCCATACTTTCACTCTGTTGAATTGACTTTATGGAACATGGTTTGTGAATGCTCTCCTAAAAATCCTTTTCAATGTGATTATATAATCTCATTGTGGGGATTTTCCATATAACAATGTTCTGAATTTTCTGAATTTTTTTGCAGAGGTTGAAAATATTTTTCATGCGATATAGAACTATTATAGACATAAAGACCTACTTACTGGTAGGAGGATAATACAGTTTTTCATTTTGAGAAGAATTAAATCTAAATAGCTCAGAATGGATTTTCTGCTCATCTTAATCTCTATTTTTTTGTCCTCTAAAACACATTTTTAATATTAATAGGTTTCAGTAGTTTAAAAAAGAACTGAAAAGCAGCAGTATTTTAAAGCTTAAATACTATGATAATGATTTACATCAACGTTGTTTCTTTTAGCACCTTAACATTTTTTATGATTCCATCTCTTTCAATCAGCAGAGAACACTTATGATTAGTATATCTGATAAACTTGTCAATGCCTGTTTAAAGCAGAATCTCCTAGTCTGCTTTATTCATCCCCCTCTCTCTTACATCATTTCAAGTATAATCTTGATAAGACAGAGATATGTTCTGGGCAGCTGTGTATAGCAAGCTCAGACGACAACTAATTTGTGAAGGAAAAAATTAAATCAGGAGGTAAATTATTTCATGATTGCTCATTCCCAACAGACCTGGGCATCATTCTGAAGAAAATATCAAATAATTGGTTTCAGACCGTGTCACACACATGCAATTCCCTTCGCTAATGGCTGTGTGAGGTAGCACTAGGCCTCAGGGGTCATGAAAGAACTGAAAATAGCTTACTGCCAGGCACAGCAATAGAGAGACAGTGCGAGTAGGAAATGAAGTGGCAATAAGTGCAATCCATAGGGGAAATGTGCTTCACTTGGAGTTTAATATATTGGTTTGGAATCTGGCAGTAAGCCATGCAACAATTGTTTACCTATTCGTCAGCATCTGCATCTGTTCTGTTTGGTAAATAGCACTTAAATCACTGCCCACAAATACCAAGATCAATACCTATTACTGGGTCTTCTTTCTTTTTCATATTATATAACAGATGCAATCTGTGAACAATATTTGCATTAGATTAACAAAGTCAGAGAGATTCGCTTGAAAACACTTTGTAGTTTTATGGATGGACTGTACAGTCCAATCATTTTGTGATTCGAAACCCTGTTGCCTTATAAAGATGCTAGCTTTTACATTCTAATTATTAAAATTGATGTGCATTTTTAAACCACTACATCAAGTTATATATGGAAGACTGTTACCATTATTCCTAGCAGTTTAGCTTGGAACAGTACTATAGCATTCCAAAATATTAAATTGCATAAATTATTAGGCAGCAATACATAGGTTGTTAAATCTAGTTTAAGTTATTTATGTATATAACAAAATAATTTTAATTCTTTACCTACTCTTTCATTAAAAGTATTTTTAGCTTAAAATGAATGATAGGCAAATATGATTAATATATATAAAATGAATACAGTGTTTCAGAAAAAATGGGGATTAATTATAAAGGTAGCTGTTTGATATGAGTAGATTAAAAAGTGATAAATGCAAGACACAACAATAAATATAATGGAGATTTTAGAAATTTGAATTATATTTAAAGATTTTAGAAGGCAAATAGTGGCCTTAATCATAATGCACGCTGTCCACTTTGTGAGATGTATATACTGAAAAGAATCCATCTGAGTTAGACAAGACATCAAGGTTACTTCACTCTGTCCTTTCCCAGCAGTAGAGTCCAAATCAAGGCAAATCTGATCAAATTAATCTTCAAAGAATTAGGCAAATTGATAATAAAAAGTCTCTATCTTTTCTAGCTTTCCTTCTCTAGCATTTTATGGAAGAATTACTATACAGTACAGAAAATTGTTCCTGCCAAGTGCAATGGAGAACCAGGAATAAGAAAAGGATGGAAGACTCCCGTTTTTATGTTCAAGCCAGTTTCTCACAAAGGGTTCTTCCATTTGCACTCAACAATCTACTTATCTGCTTCATTCACTTAGCTCCCCTGTAAACTGAAGTGTCCAGGTGCTCTGCCAGAGGGAAGAGGGCATTTACAATCAATCATGTCAATGGCTGGTATACCCTCCTTTCATTACAATGGCCAAGTTACAGCTTTTCACTATATCTCCCCTGCTGTAATGTTTGTAGGCCAAATTCTATTTCCCAATCTCCTGTTTTTCTAACACATTCCACAGACTAGGCAACAATTAATTGTTATTTCTGCTATTAGGAGTTCCATTTCCCCCCCAATATTTATTCATGGGGATAAACAGTTTTAGAACACAATAAAAAGTATAATAAAAAATATTACACTGTTACAAATTATACATTTTCTGCTGGGAATCAAACTCATAGGCTCTTGTGCTATATACAGTGCGTTTACCTTTATAAGTCACAGTGACTTTTTAGGTTGGCAAGGAGCAGGATATATGGTCCATTGGTTCAATTCTAAGTAGATGGATTGAACCACATAATTTTTAATTAGTTACTATGGTTGTGTGTGACAGAGAAGTTCCAATAAAGATTAAACCAGTAGCACACTGCCTCCCGGTGTGTAATGAATGTGTAACAACTATAGGAGTATCTACTGATATATTTCCCTCCTGGGAGTTGAGGGAGGATGGAATTATGAAATCTTCTGTTTGAGACATATCATATTAAAAGCTTTATCTCTCTAGTCTCAGAGTACCTATAAAGAAAGACATTTACTGTACATAGATGTTCAATACTGAGATAATGTCATTGACAGCTTACAAGTGACTAAGACATAAAATTGCAATTAGTCAGACCACAGGCTTAAACAGGGCTGTAAGGCCAAAGGCTTAAACAGGGCTGAAAGAGTCAAGTCATATCAAGACAGAATCAAGAACAGATTCATATAAATATAAAAGAAGAATAAAGGTAAAGGTTCCCCTCACACATATGTGCTAGTCACTCCCGACTCTAGGGGGCGGTGCTCATCTCCATTTCAAAGCCATAGAGCCAGCGCTGTCTGAAGACGTCTCCGTGGTCATGTGGCCGGCATGGCTAAATGACAAAGGCGCACAGAACAGTTACCTTCCCACCAAAGGTGGTCCCTATTTTTCTACTTGCATTTTTTATGTGCTTTCGAATTGCTAGGTTGGCAGAAGCTGGGACAAGTAATGGGAGCTCACTCCATTACGCGGCACTAGGATTCGAACCCCTGAACTGCCGACCTTTCGATCAACAAGCTCAGCGTCTTACCCACTGAGTCCCTTAAAAAGAAGAATAGTCAATCTATATATAGTATCATTTTCAAAGAGGCAGGAAATAGTCATTTGGATAAGGATAAGACCAAAAATTAAATATACAGAGATTCCAGAGAATAAATTGACCTTAACACCACACGAAAATAAAGATAAGTGTATCTCCTTTCATAATTTTGATTTTTGTTTTGCAAGGCATTAGAGCACAAGTGTCAAACGTGCTGCATCATGTTGCTGTCATGTGACATTTCGCAATATTTTTCCCATTTGCGGAACGGGTGGGCGTGGCCTGTGCATGACGCATCCGGCCTACGGGCCACCAGTTTGACACCCCTGCATTAGAAGAATAAAAATTTCAGTTTGAAGTCTTCATTTTTACTACTTTATATTATGTTGCTGAATGCTGTTAATATTTTTGGCATTTAAAATTGTTTTTGACATTATTTTCTCTGTTCTTACTGAAGTCAGGATACACAATTTAAAAATACTAACATACTGTATTCAACTGTGACCAAAACCTGGCATCCAATATATGAGAAAATCAGAGTTTGAATGTCCTCAAATTATCTGTCTGATAAGGAGGCAAGCCACTATATTTTGCAACTGAAAAATTTGCAAGACTGAATTCTTATAGAATGTATTTTCATAAGAGATATTCAAGAACGCTTAGTAATGGCTTATGATTGCCATTATTATCATCACTACTGAAAGGATGTCAGATGATACAATCAGGTGTTCTCAAACAAGATACTACTGGTTCAGTCCCTCACCTGAGTTTTAAATAGACCCTGCTGGTTGTAAATTATTATTTGTGGAAATGCAACAACAGGCATTTTTTACCAAATATTATCCAAAAGAGTTCTCTTCATCATCTGTTGATTTTGTCTTTTTTACTAAATTAGAGCATCTTATATTTTTAAATTATATTTTATAATTTAATATATTATAGTACAATTTATATTATAATAAAATATAATATTTTATATTAAATTATATTTTAACATACTATTAAATTTAGATAATCCCTTAAAATATTGTGAATGAGCTATATCCTTCTTAGACTTTATTGACATGAACCTGAGAAATAGCTCTAATTTCTCAACATTCCTACATAAGAAACTAAACATTTTTTTCACAAATATCAGAACAGCTTTCTGTTTTATTCATATATACATAAAACATGCACATATTCTATCTGTCATTTTTAGAAATAATCAGAAGTTAATTGCAACATATACAATTTAATGATATAGTTGTCACATAACCCAAAATGACTGCATTTCCACAGCCAGAGTAGCCTTTTAATCCCATCAGAAGGAAAACAATGAAAAATATACCACCTAAAAGTTCATCTAGGAAGCAAATGTGACACATGAATCTGATTTTCTTTCTCCTTATTTATAGTTGCAGAGGAACATTCCAGAAAAGGAATGAACCAGTGTTTAACATTACATCAACTCAAATGCCTTTCCCAGCTTATAAAATCATTTTTGTTGATGGAAGAAAATATTGAAGAGCTATCTTCAGGATTACTGTTAGTATGTATGTCTGAGAACAAAAGTATTCAAGGTAAAGTATGGTTATATTTTCCATATACTGTTTTCTTCAAATAATTGATTTGTAGAATTTCAATACAGTCCTTTGAAATATTTTGTTCTTGATGGTTAATTTTCCTTTCTAATTGGATAAAATTATGCTGCATAAAAACATATGAGATAGACAGTCATAAAAATTGTATAAATAAATAAAATGTCATGTGATCAATTGTGAAAAAATTATCTGATATGGACTTCCGGAGGGAAAAATAGCAAACTGAAGATGGCTATGCAAAAAGCAGAGCCAACAACTGCAGCGAAGAGTCAGTGAGTAGACTGGCTCTTCAGAACTTTACTGGATAAGGAAAGCCATGTGACCACTCATATGTGCTCTGAACAACTGCTCCTTGCAAGATTGCAAGGCAGTTGTCCCTGGTGGGTTTCCAGCACCAGGAGACAATGAGAATAGCCATGTTGTTGACAACTATGCCTTTTAAAGGATATTAAGTTTGCAAACTTCTCTTTCTAATCATGTTTACAAATTGCTTGTCAACTACTTTTAAGCTATTAGAGTCCATTGGATTGACAAATGGATTAGTTTGCCTTCAGTCCTTAATGAAATAAAATTTTAATCATAACCTTTAATTTTTTTAAAATGACATAAATAGCAAAAAGCTAAATAAGACTTTGATCCTAGAAAAGTATAAATGAATTAAGGATCCAATAAAATTTAGAATAAAATTTTGGAATTAATTATAAATGATCCTTTATAATTAAATTCTAAAATCTTATTCCAAATGTATCTGGATCCTTAATTCATTTATAATTTTCATCAAAGTCTTCTCTAGTTTTTTGCTATTTATTGACAGTTAATTAAGTGGATCCTATGAAATGACACAAAACATAACACTGAAAATATTAACATTTTTAAGAATTCAGAAATCAATATCAACAATATGAATAGCAATGTTTGTTTCTATGGACAGTCCCAAAAATGTTATAGAAGAAATGGCAGATGAGGAACAAATTTTATTTGACCATACAAAGATGGCATTAAAAGCAGATCTACAAATGACAGGCCATGAGAATGACATGGAAAAAGATGTTCTATGACATTACTTGAATCGGTTACATACAGATTAAGATTGTAAGAAGTAAATGAAGGAATATAAAGTTGGTTTATTTGATCAAGATTAAAACGATATATGTTGTTATTTCTAGTAATCCTTAATGGACTTTCTCTTTGCAAGAGAGTTGAAAAGATGATGCTTTATGGATTTATCTGTAGATAAGAAGTGGGATATGGCATGAAGTAATCATTGGTTGTGTAAATAAAAGAGGGTGAAGAGTTGCAAAAATTATTTATGCTTGTGATAAAAGTTGGAAGTCACTTCTTTACATATTTTTTTCTCTTTCTTATTATATATTTTTCTTTTTATGTTCTACTTTGGTCTTTGGACCTTGTACTCTTTCTTTCTTTCTATTCTTTCTTTCACTTAAATAGGATCCTTAAATGTAATTAAAATCCTTAATAGATAGATAAATGAAAAATTACCTGATATACAACATTGATTATTCAGAGAAACATGAGTTGAAAACAGGTTTTAGAAATTATCAGTCCATAGGAAATTGAAATAAAATTTTGATAGAGGACAAATGGGAATATAAATTGGTGGTACAATAGTGACTATTTTGATTATACCATGACATTTCTATGTATGTTTATTAAAAGATAGTAACACAATGGGTTGTTTTAAATGAGTTAATTAAATACTGATTAAAATAGAAATAGATGATAAGGAGATCTATATGGCAATTATGCTACTGAGCTGATTTTTTGCTGACTTGAGTTAAAGTTAAATTTTCTTCCTCTTAAATTAGTTGTGATAAAAAATTAATAAAAGAAACTTCAAACTGTTCTCTCTTCTTCCTCCTTTCTCTCTCTGCCCCCCCCCCCTTTTGCAAACCATTTTCCCATTTCCTCTGCCATCCCTTTTCCCTGACCAGTTCTAGGCTAATTCATAACCCAAAATAACCTATTTCTGCAGCCAAAATAAGCTTTTAAGCCTATTAGAAGGAAAACAGTGCAAAAGATCTCACCTAAAAGTTCATCTAGGAAGCAATCTCAATGAGGAAGCTTTGTTTATTAGATGAGAAATGCAAGTATGCCATTCTAATCAAGTACATGTTTGCTTATTTTAATATTCTATCAACACTGGAATCCTTAGCTAGGGTGTCTTGTCATGGTTTTGCTTTACAATAAAAGAATTCTTTTTCTTTCTGTTTAAATACTTATCTCATTGCTCAAACCATGTTCATGAATCAGATTCTTTAGAATTCCCATCTCTTCAGTCCCAAAGTATATAAGAATCACTGTCTTTCTACTGTTCGAGGTCCCTCTTTTTTGGAAAGCAGGTACCCGATGATCATTAAATAAAGTCTGGCAATATCTCTTCAGTGTTGTGCTCTTTTCTTTGGCCAAAACTTCCATGACATTAGTATTGAAATAAATTGGATTGCCAGATAAATTTTACATCAGTATTGGTGACGGGGTAATGCCATTTGCCAGAACTGAAAAGTAGCAGGCTATTTTTATAGGTATCAGTCAACAGACAGATAGTAAGATACACAGAGCTTTGTCTTCCTATTGGTAATAAGGATCATTGGGTTAAGGAAGAATGTTCAGGGAACATTTGTATCTGTCATCTTTATGGAATTGCCTCACTGTACTTCATTTTGCTTTGTACTGCGAGTTAATTTATAAAAAAATAAAAAGAAACTGGTATTGTTTAGCTGTTCTCTGTTTGGATTATTATGTTAGTATTTTTGGTTTGGTGTACAAAATGTTTGTAAAATTTCATTTAAAAACCTAAAATGTTCTTTTAAAAGTTCCTTATCTTTTATTTTAGTTTTGCTAAAGTAATGTCTGGTTTTTAGCTATACGAGAAGTCTCCTTGGCCATCATTTTTCTCGAGATCAAGTGATGACAAAGAGCAATGGCTGCATAAATTGGATGTAAGAAGAACACTTAGGGTTTATTTAAAAAAAATCAAAGATGTCAGATCTTCTGGCAGATTGTTTGTAGTCTTAGAGGTCTTAAGAGGGGTCAGATAACTTTCAAGATTTCCTTAGCTGGATGATTATGGAACTGTATTAGGGAGGTGTACATAGTTAAGGCTAAAGTGGCTCCCAGGGTTTGTAAAGCTCATTACACTAGAACTGTAGCTGCTGTTTGGGCGGAGAGGTCGAAGGCTTCCATGTTGGAAATCTACAAGGTGACCACCTGGGCTTCTCTTCATATGTTTCCATAGTGTTATAACTTCGATATAACCTCTTCTGCAGATTCTCTTTTGGTAAGAAGTTACTTATGAACCAGAAAGAAAGAGAGAGAACTTTGAAGAAAAGAGAGACACTTAGCGTACACTGTTTGGAGCTACCATTAGGACAAGTTCTTTGACAGCTTGCACAGTGGAAAGCTGTGAAAGTCAATTTAGATAGATGAAAATAAAAGTTACAGCTCAAGCCACTAATGCTCTCTGATGGTAATGCCAACAACAAATGATACCGTTATAAGACATATGGTATGCAAAAAAAAAAAAAATGAAAATATATATGAAATCATATTTTAGCTTAATAAAAATTAAATTTATTTGGTAACTTTCTATAATTTAAAATGTCTATTTCAGTTCTGTTTAGTTTAGGAGAATAACATTCAGAAAATTATTTCAAACTGTTTGACTTCTGTATATTTATGTTATATTTCTAGAGTAGTTCAAGAACTACAGGCTACAGGATATTTCACATTCATGTGAAATATCAAATATGAAACTAATAAAAACATGAACAACTTTCACAACAGAAAGGTTAAAGTGGTTATGCTGTTGGCCTAGAAATCAGGAGACTTTGAGTTCTAATCTGTCTTGTATGAAAAAACTGGAGGTGACTGAGTCAGCTATTCTCTCTCTGCCCAACACACCTCATAGGGTTGTTGTTGTAAAAGTAGGAAAAAGGATTATTGGCTTGTTTGTTACCCTGAGATAGATAGATAGATAGATAGATAGATAGATAGATAGATAGATAGACAGACAGACAGACAGACAGACAGACAGAGTGTTTCTCAGAAAATACAACCTACCCCGAAAATAAGCCTAGCTTGATTTTTACACCTGTGCCTAAAATAAGCCCTATGCCCAAAATAAAGCCCCACCCACCTAGTTGTACTAGGCTTACCTGAGGCCCCCGCAGCCAGGCCATCAACATCCTGACAACTGCCTGGCCTTGTGATGGTGACTCCAGAAACCCCATTCAGGACCCCACATGGTCGTCGGCCTGCTTCTCCTTGCTCAGCTCAGGAGGCTGAGCTATGCACGTGGGGTCCTGGAAGGGGCTTCTGGAGCTGCTGCAAGATGAAGCAATTGTCAGGATGTTGATGGCCTGGCTGTGGGGTGTAGGGGCAGCTCTATACCCCCCACCTTGCTTCATCCTCCACCCCACAACCACTTCATTTTGTGGCTGCTGCACTGGTATGTCACTCAGCCTCCTGCTCCGTTATGGCGGCAAGCAAGGAGAAGTGGCAAACAATGAAGAAAAATGAAATGAGGTGGTGGGAGGGTGGGAGGATGAAGCAAGGCAGTGGGTGCGGAGTTGCCCCACGAGTCCCGCAGCAGTTTACCTGAGGGCCCTTCAGCCAGGCCACCCATACCAAACCCTCACGCCCCACCCCACCCCAGCGTAGCCACATCACTTCATTAACCTGCTTTCTAGCTCCGTTCGCAACCACCGCGTACAGGGCAACAAAAGTAGTCTGTAGGACTACAGTAGAAAAAATAGTTCAGACCTTCCAACTTCGCGAGATCAAAATTAATCTGAAAAATATGATGTTATGTAAACATGAATATGCTTGATTATATGAATCAATGAACCTCAGAAAATAATAAAGTTTCTCAAATGCTAAGCTAGTTGATTCAATTAACAAAGTGAAAATAATTCATCTTAAAAGCAGCGTCACTCAAAATTTTATATTTATTGTTTGGGCAAAGATTTGGGAGGTATTTCTAAGAAAGGAAGGGTGTCTTGATTTCCTGCTTTCCTAGAACTAGCAGATAATGGAAGAAAATATGACTGGTAAATCAGTTTTGGTCACCAGTGAGACGAATGCTTCTTTTATTTGCTGATCTATTGTTCTCCTAAATTTACATTGCAACTAAATTATTGGAATATTTTACTGTACCTAGTACAATCTTTATAATTGGAGATAAGATCCTTTGAAGGTACTTAGAACATTTAGTAGAGATCAAGAATACTGTAAAGCAGAACATCTGTATTAAAAATGAGGGATATTTGACCAAATAATGTTTTCCTCCCTTCTAGTAGGCTTTCTCATGCCTCTGATATTTCAGAGATCTCTTGTTAAGATTTTCAAAAACATCTAACATACTTTTCATCTTCTTCTCATCTTTTTTCCCCATTTGTTTGAGAAAGGTGAACAGACAGATCTGATAATGAGCTCCAAGAATAGCTTTTTCCAGTGGAGCTCTTTGAAACCACCCTGGGCAAACTTCTCAAGACGAGTTTTCAAGGTTTGCTTCAGGAAGCTAGAAAGATTTGCAATAGTCTTTCCTTTGTAGATTAAGAAGAAATCTGTTACTGTACATAAATCACTTGTTAAAAATAATGCACTTAGATGTATCAATTGCTTTAGCTGAAGCCAGTTTAACATTTAGATTCTGTCTGGATTCTAAAAAGAATACTGTAGCAAATCATAAATATTATTTTTTTAGGAAACATGGTAATAGAGGAATAAAACATTTACTCAGAACACAGCAATCAGACATTGTTTAATAGGCTTGCTAGAATTTTTCTACATAACCAAACCATAGGAAAGAATATAGGTTTACAAGCAAGTGATCACATTATAAATTCTTATGCTTTCTGGATGCTTATTGTCTTTCTTATTTCTAAAATATCATACTCATAATTTTTTATTGTGGAAGAAATTTTGAGTTCAATGCCAAATAATGATAAATACAGTGACTGGAAGATTAAATATATAATTACAATCCCTGTCAGGGCAATAGAATCATTTCTTTTAAATTTCTATGAAAAAAAAACCTATTTCAATCCAGAATGGTTGTCCCTTATGTTCTTTACCACAGATGGTAATCATTTTTAAGATGGGAGGATCCATTTCTTCAGAAAACAATATTTTGCATAATTAATTAATGATGCTGGAAAGCTGACATTCCTATTCATTTTCTTCTGACTCACTTTTCTACATTCGTTTTCTCCTTCACTCTTTCTTCATTTCTGTTCCTGCTGAAAATCTTTGTATTAGATTGGGAAGTAGGGTGAGGAAGAAGGAACAGTTTCCATTTGTGCAAATTGTATAGAGGATTTATATTGTGTGGATGGAGGGAAGAGAACTCTAGCATCAATATCTTCCCAAACACCAATAGAATCTCCTATTGAAGAGGTTTGGGGACACTCAAGATCTACTGTTTAAGAGCCTGTTTAGTATGACTTCTGATTCTGTTGCCTCTGAGAGTTCAGTAAGCATTCATATCATGCCACATGTGTTTGCTGTAAATTGGTTGATAGATGATTGATTGATTGCAAAATCCTTAGATAAATAAATTGTAGCAAGAAACCACATAGATAAATAATAGCCAGAAACAGCAACAAAAAAGGAGAATCATGTTCTAAATGTTGCTAGTTATTTTCTCTAGACATTGGGACATGTACTAGGAAAGGGAGTGCTAGCTTAAAATCCATGTTTTGTGAGGGAAGCACTTCCCCCCAATATTCTGAAAATATGAAATCTGCCAGCTAAATTGATAGAGTTAGTCTCAAACATCAAGGATTGCCAGAAAAAACCATTTTGCATCACTAGCAATCCCTGGTAACAGGGCCTTCTCCTGTGTGCAGAGGCCATTTTAGTATTTGTTTTGCCAACAGCTTTCAATTAAATTAAGAACATCTTTATAGATCATACTTATGTTTCAGAAAGTTTGTAAGTTACAAGTTTTTTCACAAAATTAATCTTAATTTTTATTGATATTTTGCAGGAGTTCTGAAAAATGAAAATGAATCCAGCGAATTTCCTGAGCATATTCTTAAGGTTAAAAAGGTGCGTAAAATAAAAATTAAAAATACTTTAATTCTGAGAGATAGTTTTTCTCTGTACACATCACTATAGATTATTAACACATTTATTACAAATCTCTTATATGTAGATGTTAATATCAGCACGATAACTAATTTAATTTAAGCTTGAGTGAAAATATTAATTTTGAGAATATAGAACACTTTGATGAGCCATTTTAGTCCTACTTAAAACATGCAGAAATATTTTCCCCATGTTTTTGTTGATTTTTAAGAAATTAACAAAAAAGACTTTAAGAAGTCTGTTATTTTGTTAATTTGGGATAGTTATTTCCTATTTGCACAGTCTATACAGCTTACTACATATAAAAGACACTTGTATATATTTCTTGTGGTTGGCACAAAAACAAAATTCTGGTATTAGTGCTACCACAATCGAGCTGGTAGGAAAGGGCAATTGTTTGCTCACTTTGCATGAACATGTAAAAGCTTTGGTAAAATAATGGGCCCCCCTCAATTCCATGCACCATATTTTGGGGCCTAGGAATGACAATCTTAAAAATTTGTCATATTATATTATATTCCAAATTAACTCTGGCTTTTCCTTTCCTTCTCCAAGCCAGGTCCAAAATTTATCTGAATGATATTGAGACTTGACATCTGTCAAGTTCCCAAGAATAAATTATGTAATGGGTAGGGAAAATACAAAAGTAATTGCCTATTTTTTGTTGCTGTCATTTACTTTCAGATAATCCAGATAGATGTTTAAAACTGGCATAGATATTCGAAACTGCACATTTGTATGTTAAATATTTATTGTATAAATTTATATTTCAGTCTACCATGCTGGAGTTTGGATGGAGAAATGTTTTTAAAGACCTGTCCCCTTCAGTAGCATACAGTTTAATAATTGCAGTTGAAGATTTTTCCAGTAAAATTCTTGAACGTGAACAAAATGAACAGTCTTCAGCTACTTATTATATGATGTGTCTTGTAAATGTACAAAACATGAATGAATCCTGGAGAGTTGTCCATGAGAAAGAGCAACCAAAACAGATTTCAAAGGCATGTATCAAAAAAATATGGAGGTTGGAGGTTCTATAGGATATTATATTTGTTGGAAGTACCTATAAAGCCAATAATACTCATAAATACCATCATTGGTCTTGTTTATTTAACAGTCAATTAATTGGAGTTGTAAGTTGTAAGTTATTACTGTAAGCATCTTAGAGTATGCTGGAGTTGCTTGGTTATTGTAATAGATTCTGCTTGGAATGGAGTGAATTAAGATTTAAAAGATGTACCATATTTACCCAGTAGATTCACCCTTCCCAAATAACTACCGTATTTTTCAGAGTATAAGATGCACCGGAGTATAAGACGCACCTACATTTTTTGTTTTGTTTTTTTTATAAAAAGTTTTTTTTTATTTTTTAGACAAACACACATACAAACAAACATACAATGTATTTTCTTTGAACAGAGTATTTGGCCGGTTCACAAATTTAAACAGTGTTTAGTCATTTCAATTAAATTTACAATTTCTATATTTCTTTTTTGCCATAATTATTCTTCATCTGTTTTTTTAAAAAAACCAATATTACCCTTCATCCTCATCTCTAATCTTAATCAAATTCAATTTTTCCCTTTTATTCTATATTATACCCCTTCCCATTGTCATATATTTTTATATCCATCCTCACATTGGTTAATTATGTAATATTACAGTTGTTTAATACAAATTCAACATTTTAATATAAGTCAATTAATTATATAACTATCTTTTTTGTATATTAATCAATATGAATATGAATATTCCAATTATTTCCATGCAATCCAATGTCTTACAAATCAATTAATTATATTTACCAATAATAATAAACCAAATAATTTCCCCCATATATTCCTCCAAACCACAATTTAACCATTTCTTTTTTTAATTTTTTTTAAACCCCCTCCCAATTTAACCATTTCTGCTTTCAACACAATATACAATTAATAGTATCTCAATTATTACAATTCCCTAGTTAAATAGAGCTTTCCCCTTATGTTACTCATTTTCACATCTTAAACTCTCCCAATAACCCAAATAGTTTTGCCCATATAATCCTCCAAATCACAACTTAATCATTTCTACTTTCATCACAATATATAATTAAAAATATTTCAATCGTTAACAATTTCCCTAATTAAATTTTAAAATGTTCTAGCTGTTATCCAAGCTACAACTTAATCCTTTTTACTTTCACCACCATATACCATTAAAGGTATTTCAATTGTTACAGTTTATACTTATTCATATTTCAAAAAATAAATAAATAAATAAAAACTTATCATTGTCTAGATTTCAAAAATACAAAGACAAATATTCCAATTATTATTTATTTCATTTTTACAATCATGATTTCCCATTTATTTCTTACTACTATTCATATTTCAATTCTAAATATGTATAACATCTTTCTCTTTCATTTCTTTTTCTTTCTTCCCATTTTTCTTTTTGCCTTTTTCTTTCTCCTTTTTTTCTTTTGTGTTTTAAAATCTTCTCCTCTTTTGCCCTAAATTCCCCATTGTTTTCACCTTTTTTAGTGAGGAAAAAGAAGAAAAAGAAATCTCCCTCTGCCTCATTTTTCCTTGCAGCAAACAGCCTGCTTTACTTTCAGTTTCGCTTTCAGCATAGCTTGATTAGCACAAGGGAAAAAAAATCTGCTCCAGCACTTTGCAGCAAGCAGCAGAGCCCTGCGCAAAACAGCTGAGAACAAATCAGCTGAGAGTCGGGAGGTCAATCTAATCAACTTGTGCTAATTTGCTTATGCTGAACCTGAAAGGAGCTGTTTTTTTCTTGCTGTTTGCTTGCAAGGAGGTAACTGCTGCGAGGCACAGGCCAAAGGGTGGGGGCCAGTGGGTGGGCAGGGCTACATTCGGTGTATAAGACGCACCTAAATTTTCACCCCCTTTTAAGGGGGGGGGGAAAGGTACGTCTTATACTCCGAAAAATACGGTACATATAAATTGAGGAGTGTCATTCACAGTGACAGAAAACAAAACAAAAGGGTCAGGAATGTTACTATAAAACTGCTGCTGAAAAGATGGATGCCTTTGAAGATAAAGACTGCTTGCCTGTTGAATTTAATTCTTTTGTGGTGTTTAAATAGATCTTCTTTGTCTTTATTTCTTTCAGTGCCCAATTACCTATCTCTTGCCTCATCCATGTCTCTATCTTTTCTTTTCTTCCCAACCTTCTGCTTCCTTTTCCTTCTATAGCAGGGGTGTCAAACTCATGTCGTCACAGCTTTGTCATGTGACGTATCACGACTTCCCCCCCTTGGCTAAACTGGACGTCGGCATGGCCAACACGTGACGCATCCGGCTTACAGGCCGCGATTTTGACACCCCTGTTCTATAGCCATGGTCATTTCTTCTACTGCTGTTGGGATGTGGGAGAGCAATGTGTCTGAAAATAGTTTGTGAATAAAAGAGAAAATTGTTGATATAGGCAGATGCAATTAATTTTACGTAGTAATTGTTAATTCAGTTACTGAAGATTATTTTCACCTATCCCAGACCTTTTGGAGTATAGGTTCTAATGCATATGTTCTTGCGTACATACATACACATACATGTATGTGTCACAAATAGTCATTTGGGGACGAGAAATTACTAAGATTAGTTTCAAGTGGAAGTTATGGGATTTTTTTACAAGTTTGGAGAAGCTGGCTACTGTACAGGGTTTTTGTATGGATTTGAATATATAATTTTCTCTATCAGCTCTTTCTGTGAGAGAGAGAGACTTACTTAAATTTGAATTGTCTTCCTGTTTAATAAGCTTGGCATATTGCCTATTTGAATGTAATTAGGTTTTGTCTATTCAGTCATTGGTTAGAAATTAATGTATACAACTGCAGATCAGATATATTTCCATTAAAAAATGTCACAAGTGACATTTTTTAACATGTTCTTAATATCTACAAGATATATTTCTTTGTACTTCATCCATGTATTTTAGTACAAGAAAATAAAATGATTTCAATATTGATTTGTTTTATATGTCAAGTATACATTTCAATGATACATAGTATGCCCTGTGTATCATTGAAAATATTTGGAATTAAAAATAAGTGAATCCCAACATTTATATTTCTTAGTTTTGTTCGGACATCATGGAAGTACTTGACATGTTGCTCCCATTGGCTCTGGCATGCACAGTTGAATTTTTCCAGGAAATTAGAGCAAACTTTATAGAGGCTTGCAACAAAGTGGCAACAGCTCTCCTGACCAGACTGGAAGAGAGAAGTAAAGATGTTCCCACAAGAGCTCCACTTCAGAATTTATATATCATTCTTTCCACAGCAGTACATATATATCAGCATTTTAAAATGTATCAAAATGAAATGAAAGTGGACTCTGGAAAGTAAGTCTCTTTTCAGTGATAACAATGTGTTTTCATTATTATTTTTTCTTTCAACTTCCTTTATGATCTATTCTGGCTAAATTTTGACCTAATTTGCTACTAGAACTGAGTGTTGATATTTAAATGTGAAGTATTCCTTGGGGGATATTTGAGAAACCTCCCCTTACTAGTTACATCTACCCATTCCATCAGATCTGGCAGGAGAGGCATTTTGTAGGTCTCTTCTATTAAGGTATGTCATCTGACATAATTCCATGTAACTGATTTTTTATGGAAAGGAGGGCTCACTTTTGTCTTATCCAATCAATTTTTCTCTTGTAATTTCCTTTGATGTGTTAACTATAAAAGGGACTGAAAGCTGGGTCTTGAAGTTCCCTCTTTGAATGAGAAGAATGTCTTTTAATCAGAATGTTCTGAATAAATTGAAATAAAATGATCTTCCTGTCTCAGTCAGTTTCATTGGATGCTGAGGCATGAGCCTAGAAGCCATATTTTGGCCCCAAGGCTTCAGACAGTAAAAAAATGCCACCTGATAATTTCCTTCAAATTACTGATATTTTTAAAACAGGCATTTATTGTAACACAGTAACATCATTATGAATGAATTTCAATTGCAGGAAATTTAGTACTACTATAAAAGCATTCAAAATTCAGAAAAATCTTCTGCCACAAATCCTACCAGCACTTGCTTTGATAGGTTTATAACAATAATATATTTAATGACATTTCAGTATTTCTTCTAGACTGGGGTGTCAAACTCAAGGCCCAGGGGCCCACGGGGTGGTTAGATCTGGACTGCGCAGCCACCCTGGAAATAGCAAAGGACCGGCTGATGCCTCTGTCAATGAAAATGGAGCTCAGAAGGGCTGTAGCCGGACCTCCCAAGCTCTGTTTTCACTGGCAGAGGGTTGCAGAATGCCATTTTTTCTGGCAGAGGGTTGCAGGAAACTGTCACAGCTGAAAATGGAGCTCGGGGGCTCATTTTTGCTGGAAGAGCTCAGGCCATTACACGCACCCCTAACCTGAGTGACGTCGAGCTGGCCATGCCCCCCCTCGCCACGCCCCCTCAAGCTCAAACACAATCCTGATGTGGCCCTCAATGAAATTGAGTTCAACACTCCTGTTCTAGACCAATAGATTAAGGAGCACAAATTGTTTTCATTGGCTGATTTGTTGTTCTGTCTAAGTACTTAGTAAATGACAGGAGAAATTAAAAATATTCCAAGGCTAGAAAAAGCAGCTATGTCAGGGAAGATACTGACAAAAGAATACATTTTTAAAAAAGCTTTTCATTTATTATTTTAAAAAGTTGAAGTTAAATTTTGTGACTAGTTAAAATTTAAATTGATAATTAAAAAAATTAAGTTAGCTATTAGTAAAAGGTAAAAGTTTCTCCTGTCTCGTTGTATCCGATACTAGGGGGCGATGCAATAACTAGCCTTTATGACTTCCTATCCTTGCTTAATCTTTCATATTTTTGCACCTTATATTACTTATGCCATATATTTGAAGTTAAAAATTATCCCCATAACCTGTATGTTTATATCACATGTATGGATAGTGTGTGTTTATATACTGTATATACTTATATCACATGCATGGACATGCATTTTCCTGACAGTTAGATCAATTAATCAGTGGAACTACTTGCCTCCAGAAGTTGTGAATACTCCAACAGTGGAAGTTTTTAAGAAGAGATTGGACACAACCATTTGTCTGAAATGGTATAGGCTTTTCTGCCTTAGCAGGCAGTTGGACTATACAATCTCCAAGTTCCACTCCAACTCTGTCATTCTATTATTCTGATTGTGTGTGTGTGTGTGTGTGTGTGTGTGTGTTAGTTACAAGCCTAATATTTATTTTAATTTTAAATTCACATTAGTGTATAACATTTTGTCAGTCTAAATAAAAATGAATTATACATTAATAACCCTGTTGTTTAACGGTATCAGGTATAATAATAGTATGTCTTTTAATAATAGCAAAATAAATATCTGATTATTTAGCTAAGTATTTTTTTCTTTATTAAGTCTTCTTCTAACCTTATAAATAGTATAGATTTGTAAAATTACATGTATTTTCAAAAGAGCATATGTAGTGAAAAGATTTTAAAGTTAATGTGGAATCAATGGTAATAGATAATTGCTTATTTAATCATCTAAACCATTTGTAGAATTGTAGATTGCTGTCTCCTTACAGGAGTGTTCTTAAATCGTTCCCTATGATCTTTGCAATTGAACAGGCCCTTATTTCTAGCACTACTCCAGCAGTATAAGGAACTGATCAGCATTCTTCAGTTTCAAGTTACAAACTATTGCATACAAGTGTGTGTTACAAGCATTTTACAGGATGCTGAGAGTCATTACTGGGATGACAACAAAGCTTTTTATGAGGTACGAAAGTAACTTTACTATCCTTCATTTTTATACAAATGTGGTTTATTTTTCTTTATTTTTCACTGATTTGAAAAACAGATGCAAAACAATATGGATTTAAAATGCGGTTTTAAGATTGTATCCACTCATCTAATTGCCTGCCTGCCTGATGTATCTTTCAATGGATATAAAACACAAGGCCAATAAGCTTCTTCTGATTCCCAGATATCCTGTTATATATCTGCGTTAGGTGTGATTCCACTGTTCTTAATATAAATGTCACAAAGTTAAAAAGGGAATAGTCCAGAGTAATTGGACTTAATTAAGATTACAGCAAATTGTATTCTAATTTGCTGTAAATCTTATGGATTTAAGTTTATATTTTAAGGTTGCGACTGATTAAAACAATCCCTGAAGCGCTTTATTACTGAAAATGTTTATCTACAAAAAGTGTAATTGCATATTGTTTATTAATCATTTCACCAACTTGATGAATTATCTGAACCAACTAATTCATAATTCAATAATTGAAGTGGATAAGAATCCATAATCTGGAAGTACTGTATATTTCACACTATAAGACGCTCCAGACTATAAGACACACATTAGCTTTAGAGGAGGAAAACAAGGGGAAAAAAATCTGCCTCTGCCTCCCAGCAGCCATCTGGTATTCATCTGGCTAGTGTCCTTGCAGCAAACAGCAAACAGCCTGGTCAGCATCAGCACGTTATCACAGCCCCAGCACGTGGCTCATCAGAGTTCTGCTCTGTTGCCCCCACCAGCTGAGCTCAGCTGCTGCCGCCAGCAGGGAACACTGGAGCCTTCCCTGCCAAGCAGCTGATTGGTGGTTGGATCAGCCTCCCAGAATACTGCCAATCGGCTGTTCTAGGCGGTGGGGATTACCACTGCCTATTGCTGCCGCTGCCTATTGCTGCCAATCATCTTCGGTGCCGCCGCTGATCACCACCAGCAGCTGCTTGGCAGCGAAGGTTCCAGCTTTCCCTGGTGGCGGCAAGCGGTGGCAGCAGTGACAGGTGGTGGCAGCTATTGCTACCGCCGCACCAACCCTCTCCTCCCGCTGCTCTATAAGACGCACAGACATTTCCACCCACATTTTTTGGGGGGAAAAGTGTGTCTTATAGTGCGAAAAATACAGTAAGTGGTTTAGGAAACTGGAGTACCTAAAGATATATTAAGTTTACTGAAAACTATTCTCAGCAACAAACACATAAAAAGGAGCAACTATCCCATAGCTTCCTACATTTTACAGGGAAATTTGCTTTCATCACTGCAGAATTGGTGTTTGGACACATTTTAGTACTGGCAATCATTTTAAATCTGGAAAAAATGTTTTATAGTAATTCAAATTTCTATTATTTGGATTAATGTAAAAATGGTGACTTCTAACTAATATAGTATAAGCTGTAGGGTTTTTAAAAGTCACAATCTGTTTTAAATATTGTGGGGAGTTTAACTCAGCATCTTTTGTTCTTCAGCAGTTTCTTTTCAGTCTCGATTTTATTGAGAGAATCCAACTGATATTGAGGAAGATAGGTTTCTATTGTTTAATCTTTGGTTGTTTTGCCAGGGAGAAAGATGCTCATTTTCTATCCATATGTGGCATTATTTCTGCTATGCTCTTCAACATGACCTATGGACTGTTCTATCTCCTGAATTAGCTCAGGAAATTCTAACAGAAGTGCTGGAAGAATCATTAGCACTTTTGGCTTGCAGATATTTTCAGGCCCAGCCCAGTTACAAAAGGACGCCACAAATAAGGTAATAATTTATCAAGTTATGTACTTTCAATGAGATGATAGCAACAGTAGCTTATTCTTAACTAAAAACAGCTATTAGAAATGAAAGAGGAGTGTTACAGTTAAAATAATATTAAAATCATATTTTTTTAAAAAATTATAATTTAAAGGCAATTAATTTAAAGATAAAAACAAAAAGAACACATTAAAATCCTATTGAAATCAAAATGTATAAAGTAAAACAGCCAGATGTTTGATCATACATTTGATAGAAGGTTATTTTACTTTATTTATTTCTATTTTATTAAATTCTGAGGGTGTCCAACTTGAAATGATTCTGGGTGGTTTATGTTTTATTTTTTTAACATTAGAGACTGTTAAAAAATAAAGACAATTTTAAAAAAAGAAAAGGTACAACTCCCCACCCCCACCCCCCCAAAAAACAATAGGGACTTATCAGCTACCATTCAACCAGGCATAGGAGTAACGTTAAATTTTCAACAACCTTTCAAACACTATCAGGGTAGGAGTTGTATGGATCTTTGGTGGATGCTATTCCAGAGTGCAGGCACCACAACAGGGAAAGTACATTTCCCTAACATGACATTGATTAATTGGAAGGACCTGGAGCGTGCCCACTATGTCTGATTATAATGGATCGTAAAAACTAGAGGCAAGTGGTCCTTGACATACGAAGGGCTTTATGGGCAATAACCAGAATCTGGAATTGCATCTAGAAGCCAACTGGTAAACAGTGCAACAAATTTTGTCGCAGTACTACGGACCTCAGTCCTGATTAATATAGGTCCAGATAATCTACTTCATCCAGGGCATGCCACAGCTGGAATCCCTCTGCCCTTTCAGCAACCTTCCCAAAACAGCAAAAGCTAGAGACTGTATGGAAGTTATCCAAATCTTACTCATGGTCACTCATGCCTTAGTCACCTCCCAATTGGATTATTGCAACACACAATAAAATAGAGCTGCCTTTGAAAACCATCCAGAAACTGCAACTGGTCCAGAATGCAGCAACATGTGCAGTTGTGGGCATCCCACAATTTACCCAAATTACAACACTGTTATATGAGCAGCACCAGCTCCTGTCAAGTGGAAGAAATCAGGAGTCCAGCCAGTCCAAATGAATATATGCTTGTTATATGCTAAAGCTGAGTGGTGGCCTAGAGGTGAAGACACTTGCTTTCCACTTGGAAGGTTGAGAGTTCAGTCCTAGGCAGGAGCAGATGTTTCTGTATCAGGTAGCATATTACAGTCACTCAGTCTTTTTAAAGAGATGATTGCAGATATGTACTTTTGCTCTCACGTTTGCTGTTTTGAAATAAAGCCTTTGCCAGTTATATCAGTGAGATACAGTTTGTCATCTAAGTATATGGTCTGACTGTCTTTTAATTGCAAGTTACTCTTGTGACAGCCAGAGGTGGGCATCCTAACATAGTATTGTGTTCTATGGAGAACCGAATAAGATTGAAAGAAAAAGAAGGAAATAGAAGAAGGAAAAAAAATGCATATGAAAATATTAAAAAAAATTGAGTGCTTAAAATTGCAAAGCAAACATAATATTAAATAAATTAAAATCTATAGGTGAAATCCATTAAATATTACGTATCATATTTATACTTAGTATTGGCTTTGAAAATTTTTAAGAGGCAGTGATAAGAAATGACATCCATTACTGAACAGATTGAAAATGTAGATAAGTGTTGATTGTATTCATTGAAACAGCTTCAGCTAACAACATATACTGTATATGGAATAGGCAAGTTAAATTATATTGTTGAATGTGTTTTTAAAATAAAAACTAAATGTTACCTAATAAATGTTAGCAAATAATAATTCTGATCCAGAATTCAGCATGTATACGAGAAAATTGCTTTCCTTTTCATCTTTATGGAGTGAGGTGATCCACGTATATAGAGCAAATATTAGAGACTATATTAATTACATTTTGCTAGTGAATTGTTTGAAGTAAGTCTGAGTATGATTCTAGTTCTTTTTTTTTCTGGGGGCGTTGCTTTATAAGATGGGTCTCTTCTACTATATTATTATACAGATAGTCTTCCACTTATGACCACAATTGAGTCCAAAATTTCCATTGCTAAGCAAGACAGTTGTTAAGTGAGTTTTGCCAGTTACCAAACGTCTGAATTTTGATCATGTGACCACTGGGATGCTGCATGTGTCATAATAAGCGTGAAAAACAGTCAGAAGCCACTTTTTTCAGTGCTGTTGTAACTTTGGTCACTAAACAAGTGTTTGTAAGTCAAGGGCTACTTATAATCATTTACTTTTGCCTAAGAATCCTGATAATTTTAAGAGTAAAAGGTATATCCTTTGGAATGTGGCAAATAAGTCATGATTATGGATTATATTATATTGCTAGATTATTTCCAGAGTTTTATCTCTTACAGAACAGATGTCACAGCAATCCTGATGACCTGTGAAAACATGCTGTGGTCAGTTTGTGGTTCCACGCAAGAACTTTTAGATCCACATAAAGACAGAAATCCTCGTATTTATAATATCCACAGATACTGCAATAATTTACTAGCAGCTGCTCTTGTTTTAACTTCACCACTAGAGAATTTGTACAAGTAAGTGTGATTCTTCAAGATTAACATACATTTAGCCTATAATAGGAGTGACAATTGTCTCTCTTTGTTTAATGGCTGATTTATAATATGATAATAAAGCCCCAAAGTCCAAGCATTGATTTCTTCCATTAATTACATACTACTTTAGTAAGTGTAGTTAATTTGCATTCAATTTTTACATCTTAATTCCTTAGTATGTGTTAATACTTCTGAATCATCTGATTCAGTAATTGACTCAGCTGTTTACATTGCACATAGGGCTTAGGCCAGGGGTCTGCAACAGTGGTGGGTTTCAAAATTTTTTACTAGCGGTTCTGTGGATGTGGCTTGGCGGGCGTGGCATGTCTTGATGGGTGTGGTTTGGTGGGCGTGGCAGGGGAAAGATACTGTAAAATCTCCATTCCCACCCCACTCCAAGGGAAGGATACTGTAAAATCTCCATTCCCTCCCCAATCCAGGGGATGGTTATTGCAAAATCCCTATTTACTCCCGATCAGCTGGGATTTGGGAGGCAGAGAATAGATGGGGGTGGGGCCAATCAGAGGTGGTATTTACCAGTTGTCCGAACTACTCAAAATTTCCATGACCGGTTCCCCAGAACTGGTCAGAACCTCCTGAAACCCACCTCTGGTCTGCAACCTTAAACACTCAAAGAGCCATTTGGACCTATTTCCCACAGAAAAAAAACACACCGGGAGCCACAAAACCTGGGTGGGCTTGGCCAAGTTGATGTCACTCAGTCCCACACAATTGCATGACCCCTAACCATGCCTACCCAGCCACAAAACCATTCTCTCTCTCTCTCTGTCTCTCTTTCCCCCTCTCTCCCCCCTTCTCTCTCCCCCTTCTGAATCTCTCTGTCCCTCTTTCTCTGTCCCTCTCCGTATCTTCCCCACTTCCCCTCTCTATATCTCTCCCCCATCTCTCCTCTCTCCCCCTCTGTGTCTCTCTCTCCCTCTGCGTCTCTCTCCCCCTCTCTCTCTGTATATCACTGTGTCTCTCTGTCACCCCCTCTCTGTGTATCACTCTGTGTGTATCTCTCTATGTCTCTCTCTCTCTTTCTCTCCCCCCCTATGTGTGTGTGTGTGTGTGTATGTGTGTGTCTTGGAAAGCCGCGGCTGTGCCAAACCAGCAAACTCTTCATGGGCGCACTTCGCTACTCCTTTTATTTATTCTTTTTGGAAATCCAGGCTGGCTGAAGAAAGATCGCCAGCAATGGCAGAGGCTTCCCTTCGGGTGACCGTCCTCCTCCTTCTCCCCTCCTTCCCCTCTCATGACCTCCTGGCCGGGAGCATACGCACGCGTGGGGAGACCCTCAGCAACCAAGCGCCAAAGCGCAGCAAAGGCGTGCGCGCTTAAGGGTCTTAACAGGACACAGCTTCTCTCCTGCACTGAGGCTCTGGCCATTGCCTTGCCGTGTCATCCCCCACCCCCGACAGGTCTTCGGTCAAGGGTAGAGGGCGTGAACTCCAGCCCAAAGCAGCAGGAAGTGAAGACTGCCTTACACGCAAATGTGGCATGAAGGCAGGTACAGGACCTCTTCTCTCCTGCACTCTCCAGTGACCCTCCTCCCCCTCCTCCTCTCATGACCCCCTGGCTGGCTGTGGCTGAGCAGGGAGACCGTCCTTAAGCGACCGCCTGCACCTTTCTTGCGCTTTGGTGCTCACTTGAGGAGGGTCTCCCTGTGCGTGCGCATGCTCCTAGCTCAGCCACAGCCAGCCAGGGGGTCATGAGAAGGGGAGGGGGAGTAGGGTTGCCTAAAGGGGCTCTGCTGCGGCTGGCAATCGTTCCTCAGCTAGCCTGGATTTCCAAAAATATCCAAAAAAGAAATAAAAGGGGTGAGGGGAAGGACCAACCGGTGATGGGACAGGGAGCCAGAGCAGAGGGCCCAAAGAGCTGCATGCGGCTCCAGAGCCGCGGGTTGCCAACACCCGGCTTAGGCAAATAGGCCTTGTATCTGCAGTCATTTAGACAAGGGCAGAACAGATAGAACACTTCTGAAAAGGAAAAATTTAAAAACTGAGCCTACAGAAAGAAAGATAAATTAAAAAACCAGAAAAATATAAAATCTAGAAACTTGAGATAAAGTATAAAAATATAACAAGAATTCTGTGTAAAACAAAATTATACCAAAAGTAGCCAAATGTATCTGACCAGATCTGTACCATCTTTAAAAGAACATGTGACTCTCCCTGTCCCTGTCCCTCTCAATTATATGTTGTATATTATGTATACAGTTTTTATGGTCCTCATCTGTTGCAGTGCAGGAAAATATATTTTTTCTTTTAAGTTGCATGAAACCAAGCACATGGTCTCAGAGACCAAGTGGCAGCATTTCCTTTGAGATTAGGATGAACAAGATAACTGCCTGTTTCTAAACTTAAATCCAATGGATATTACTTTTTGGTAACTGTAACTATTGATTAATAAATACTTGCACAAATAATACATCTAACATCCTGTTACACATGCTCTTGATAGCCAGTTTCCATTCCTCAGAGAACTGAGGCGTGCTTTGCCACAATCAATAAATAATGTTATGATAGTGACCAGTTTGGCTCTAATTCATTTTGAAGCCTTCAAGCTACATACTTTTTTTGTTATTCTTCCAGACAAAAAATTCCTTTTATTAGTAGAGTGCCATAATATACAGTAAGAGGATAAAGGAAAAGAAAATATTGATAAATCTTTTTAAAAATTGACTTATTGTACTTTGCTTAGCATTGCTATCGGGGAACATCAAATATTACCTAATAGTTAAATAATATGATTGTTCTTTTCTGACTGATAAAATACTAATAGAATAGTGTATTTACTGATTTCTGTAAAATTTTCACATCAGTTTTCTTGTGCATTCATGAATAAATTAACTTGAAATAAAGTTTTTGTAGTTAAATACAATTCACTTGAAAATTATATGAACATTTTGGATGAAAGTGCCAGCCAAATTATGAACATTTTGGATGAAAGTGCCAGCCTTCTTGACCAAAATTCAGCAGAAAAATATAGCTCTCCTGACATATGATTGTTCAGTTTGTTGCCTTGGTATGACTTGATAGAAGAATTAGAGACAAAACTCAGCTAATTTAGAATCTTTATTGTAGACAAGATGAAGCCGTTTAAAACAGTTGATTGTTGATGAGAAGAAATGTTATATCCTCAGGGATATACACTTCTGGCTTCTTCTGGTCACCCTTCAAATTAATAGATAATTAATATGGATATTTTGGACCCTTAAGGAGGAGTTGCTGTATATTTAGTACAAAGAATTATTGGATTGCTTCATTTGTTTAAGTGTGAACCATTAGCTTTCAAAATTTAATTGAAAGGAATGGCAATGAATAAGCCTGTGCAATTTGTTGCACCCACAAAGACTTCGTATATTGTGATCAAACTGAGTGTTTATAGAGCCAAAGACATTCAGCATTTTCCATACAGAAATGCTGCTTATTGAGTATGACATTGTTCATATTCTATTTCAATTTTTTTTTTGAAGTCTGGGTATGCTTCAGGTGTTGTTTCTAAAGTTTTATTATATTTTTGGCAAAATAGGGGGGCTCTTCCTAAATTTTAGTGGGTTTTTTTGACAGTCAATCATTAAGTATGTTGTTACAATAGAATCTTTTTCACTTAGTGATTCATAAGCTATGCTGATTTGCATATGTAAATAAACTATCTAAATTAAATGGCACCTGGGCTTTCTTTTTCCTTGACAAGTTTCATTTTTCATCCAAGAAGCTTCTTCAGTTCTGATTGAGAATCTCCATAGTTATCTGAATCAAATGGGTGCTGTACTGTTCTTTTTCTCTGAGAGTATTTCATCTCATATGAAAAGAATGGGAGGGTATATGAAATTGCAAGGATTGAAATTTCTTGTGAGGTACTTGGTCAATCATAATAAAGAAACCAGCCAACACTTCAAGCAGCTACTTGGCTGCTGGTAACCCTCCAGCTGCATTTCTTCCTTCAGATGACCAAATAAGGCATCAGTGCTACTAAAAATATAGAAGATAAAGAATATATGTGATTTTAATCAGAAGTAAAAGAACGTTAACCACTGAATCTCTATCCAGAATGACATTTGTACACAGGTAATTTGTTCAGGGAAAAATAGAGTAATAATAGCTAAGCAATTGTGATCAGTTTTACTAAACTGAATTTATTACATGCCTTATTTGACCAGCTGAAATGCAGTTGGACAGCTACCAGCAGACAAGTAACTGCTTGAAGTGTTAGCTGATTTTGTTATTATCATTGACCGATAAATTCACAAGAATGTTGATGCTATCTGTTCAATTGTGCCTTATTCTCAGCAGTTTTATGGATCAGTTTTCTGCACATTTTCTTTTATTTGTTTTAGTTCTGAAATGAACGCTTAATTGTAATAGTTTTCAAGGGGTTTTTTTTCTCTTTTTTCTCTTTTTCTCTTTCCACACTTTTAAGAACATCAATTTTCCAGTGTTTTGCTACAATAATCTATTGCTCTATATTAAATCCATTTGTTATGCTGCCTCAATATGTTTTAGGAAAAATGGAAAGCTAACCAATAGCAGGATTCATTGTCAATTCGGTAATTTCCCCAATTTCTTCAATTTTTTAAAGAAAGATTTCTTGGAAATTATACTACTGTATAGGAGGAATTGTAAAAAAAGAATGTAAAAATCTGTGACCTCATATGTAATGTAAGGCAAGATTACCCATCCCCTCTCCCTCTCAATCAAAATCTAATCATTTTCTCTCTGGAAGAAAAGCATTTAGCTGTTCCCTGTGCCCTAAAGTTTAAATATCAGTCTGCTAATACACATAGGAGCACAATTGAACCCAAAATTTCTGATGTTAAGTGAGCCATTTGTTAAGTGAGTTTTGCTCCATTTTATGACCTTTACCACACTTGTTAAGTGAATCACTGCAATTGTTAGTAACACAGTTGTTAAGTAAATCTTGCTTCCCCATTGACTCTGCTTGTCAGAAGGTAACAAAAGTTGATCATATGACCCCAGGACACTGCAACCGTCATAAATATGAGTCAGTTGCCAATTGGCTGAATTTTGATCACATGACCATGGGGATGCTGCAATGGTCATAAGTGTGAAAAACTGTCATAAGTCATTTTTTCAGTACTATTGTAATTTTGAGTGATCACTAAATAGACTGTTGTAAGTGCAGGCTTACCTGTACTTCAGATGGAACACTTGTTTTACTATAATTTACATTAAATATGATGAGAGAATTTAGGATTTCTAAGCAGCATTCTGCTCACCTTACAGTCTCTCATTCATAAAATAATTTCCTTTAGAAGATTAAGCCCCCCTGCTCCAGAACACTTGGAAAACAGGATAGATAACTGTGCCTGGAATTACCCACTTTGCGGTATTTCTACATATTATTTCAAAGAAAACAAATGAGGTGTCTATAAAGTCACCAGGAGTCAGGTTGAGTCAAAAGAAACTTTTTATTTAGCCCTTACTAAAGATACTAAATACAGTATCTTTTCTTTTGAAAAAAATATGCAGTCTTAGTAGTTAAAAGTATTTTTGTGAGTTTGAAAAAATAGTCTAAATTCATGAATCTTGATATCACATGTAATTTAAGGAGATTTTCAACAATTTAAATTTTATGAGGCATCTATTAGATCATTATTTAGGCAACTCATAATTTCACACCAGTGCTGAAATTTACAAGATCGCTTCTCACCTTGTCACATATTACAGAAGAATAACATCATCGTAATATGGAATTTTTCCTTGATATCAGATACTTCCACAGATGCTTCCCCCAGCTTTGAAACACGAGGCAGCTGCTATAGCATATATTATATATAAAGAACATCTACTAACTAAAGTAATGCATTATCAATCAGCAGAGCAGGAAAATGAAACCAAATGAGCCAGTGAAGCACTAGAGCTGGGTATAGAAGGTGAATCCCCTAAAAGAGTCTCTCCCTTGGTTTACTCATTGAGCACTGTCCCTGCTTCTGGTTACTATCTAAATTCTGATCACACAGAAGTATCTTTTTTGGGATGCCCATCATCATTTGGTCTGGCTGCTGGACTCCCTGATCAGTCTAGCTGAATGTAACTGAGGGAGAAAAGAATGAAGCAAGAAACAGAGCCAGGTCTGTCTTTTTTTCTGTCACTTTAGTCTGGCTATAAGAATTGCACTCAGACTTCTCCTTATGCAACAAGTTTTATATCTTACTGCTATAGAGCCATGGGGTCCATAAAAACCATTCTTTACCTTGGTTGATCCTTTGATGTTCTACAGCATGCTGAGTGGGACAGTGGATTGAACTGAAATACAATACCATGGCAGTAAACCAAAATATTTCCATTAAACATGAAGCTGTTGGAATTGAAATCAGTTACCCATTTTCTCTTCATTGCCTGCCTGTCAAAGGAATATGATAAATTCTGATTTTGAATTGCTTATTTTTTTTCAGAACAGTTCAAAGCATTTTTGATGACTTGTCTTCAGATATTTTGGAGCAAGCTGTTTACCAACCATTGCACTGGCTATCTGTCATATCAGAGTTTTCCTCTTCATTGTTAAAGTAAGTATCTTTGTAATATAGACAGGACTCGAACCCATATCTGTGTTTTATATTGTTGCTTTTACTGATAAATTGAAATGAATTATACCACTTTGAAACATTTTATTAAAATATATATTTCATTGTCTAGTTTCTTTTAAAAACTTGTTCTTGCTTTACAAATTTTATACAGCAATTGTTTTTATATTTGTTTTTTGTACTTGATTTAACTTTGAAAAAGTAGCAATCTTGAGAATTGGTGAAGCTACTAAAGCTTACATTTATTGCTTTGTTCGTATTTGTTCGTATTTGGTATTTTTAGAAAAATGGCATGTTTAAAAGCAAATGCATAATTTTCTTGCTGTTTCAGTAAGTGTAATAACAATTTACATATGAGACATATGCTACCAGCTGTACTGCCATTTCTTTTCTAACTTTGGATCAAAGTCCTCTCACATCCATTTCAAAACCTGTTTGAGCTTCTCACAATATTTTGTGTCCCTTCCTAGTAATCTTTAATTTCTAATTAAATACTAGACTTTTTTTATTTGTATTATGAAAGAAAAAAATGTTTAGCTTTATTATTCATGTTTTGTAGTTTTGATTTTTAGTTTTTTCTCTTCTGCTTTATACAATTGCATTGCTCTAAAAGAAAATCTCAGTAATTACGGTATATTATGTAGTTTAATAAAGCCCCAATTTGGGATTAGGTAATTCTGCTTAGCTAAATCATCATCATCATTTTGTAAAGAGTATATAGAAGATGTTGATGCTACCAGAAGTCTGTATGTGGCACTATGAGCTACTCTTCAACTGCAACAATGTTTTATTAAGATGGATGCAAACCATAACTTTCCTCATTACAGAATTGTTTATTCATGTCATATTTTATATGTAGTTAATCTTCTGCTGTATGTGGGTGTGGCTAGTCTTATATTCGTGGCTATATGAGCTTGGAAGATGAAGTAACATATGTTTCTCCATATGACCAGTGAAAAAGTTTTCAGTAGTTTTATTAGTATTAACACAATGACTGAGTGAACATTTCAATTTGCACTGTGCTTTAAGAGTCTAGAGCAATTGCTAAATACTGAAAAATAGCACCCCGTCTGATTAGGTGTAAGTTTGTATGAATTCCATGTTACAAAGATCCAGCTCTTTTCTAATTAATAATTGTACAGTCAATTTGCTGCTAAATTATATTTTATGATAGATATTGAATTATAAATAGGTGTTTAGGCATTGTTATAATGTTATGTTTTATTCATTTTTTAATATCCAAATAAATGTACATGAAAAAAGTTTATGTATTGTGATATGAAGCTGAAGAATAAGCTGTCTAATAAATAACCTTTGTACTGAATATGTTTTGCAAATGTGCGATATAGAATGATGTGCTAGTATACTTATACGTTTAACTGTAAGACATGCTAAAAGGCCACAATTAAGTTTTTTTTATATACAGCACAATTTATTTCTAACCAAGAAATTAAAATCCTAAAACAAGGCCAAAAAAGCTTCATTTAAAATTGCAACCAACCATTGTATATTTTTCTTTCTTTCTATTATGTGTCAGAAGAACTTACATAGGAACACAATATATTGAGAATTTCTCTTACATAAACTTTGTTTAAATAAATTAAACTCTTTATTTATTTGTTTTATTATAGAGAACTTATATGTGCCTTCATTCAATATTGCAGGATATACTGTAGTTGAAAATAAAATATTCCCAAATATGCTCCATGAAGCATTCTTATTTTAGAGGCAGATGTCTATAAATACATGTCTCTAATAATGTGTTCTAATATTGATCTTTAGTTAGAATAGATATTTTAAATCAGTACTTCTTTGTATTACTATATATATAGTGTGTGTGTGTGTTATAATTCTGCTTATGACTTTAGACTTCATTTCAAATATTTACGGCAATAATTCTAAACATACATAACACTCAATTATACTAAAAGATTTCATATTTATATAAGCATTAAAACAATGTCTGGCTCGTGAAACAAGAGAATTAATAGTCCCAAAAAAGAAAGTAATTGAGGTTGCCTTGTAACTGTTATAGATATATTATTAATCGTTTAGCATATGTTAACTGGCTTTTAGGGTATTAAGATAAATATAATTCCTTTCCCCAATAGCATCAAGTATACATATAGTAAGCAGACATGAAAGCATCCATCAAACTGTAGGGAGTTAGAGTTTAAAGGAATTAGCATTAACCTAAACTTTTAGGGCTGTTGATTTCACAGGTAAATTAAATATATTAATCTGTATGTATCTTTCATTTTGAAAGAACTCCATCAGCTGGAGAAATGACAACTCAGGGTCATCTGAAGCTACTATTATCCCAGCCATATTGTAACTGGAACTTGCTTCTACGAACACTGCTACATCATGATTGCCTCTTAGTGAAAATTTTGTTGAGAAGTTTTAGTAAGTATTAATTTTATCATGTTTCTAATAATATAAATGTGCAAACATAATTATATTTTCAATAGTTTAACCCTAACCCTTTAAATTATTCAAATATTAATAGGAGGACTTTATGATATTGTGGAATCAAAACAACAAATAATCAAAGCTCACTGCATTGTTTATTAGACAGTACATACTGAAGGGGTCTCTTCCAAAATTATTGTGAAAGACCCTCTTGCAGACAAAGAGATGCATATTTATACATTTCAGAATGGAGGTGAAAATGATGCAGGCAAACGTATACTGAACATAAGAAATAGATGATATACGATACATATTCATAAGTAATAATATAATAAATCTTAAGTTACTACTTACTCTTATCTATGTAAAATAATGATCTTAGTTAGAAGAAACATTTGCATTTTCAGATTCAAATGCTGCTACGGGTATAATAATAGCAGGCCACTGTACAACAAAATTCCGTAGGTCTCAATTTATCTTAAACTATTCCATCATCTGAAAACTGATTTTTGTCACAATCCTACTCCCTCTTGAATATAAAGCCATTAAAAGATTTTTGAAGTAATATCAAGGCCTTCAGATCCTCCAATTCATTTTAACAACTGCTTCCGATGGCTATATTAGCATGTGTACTGATAGTGAAAAAGACAGATATCTATTGTAGTACTTCATTTCTCTCTTCCTTGCTATTTGCTTAGTTCTGAATTACTCCTACAGATTCTAAAAAATAATCTCTAATTACTAACTACTAATAATGGTTCAAAAAAATTCGATTCATCCTCTGAAGTTCTGAAACACAATTATTGTCCTCCCTAGTTTAAGTGGTAGGGTATCAATCCTTTCCCTCTACCTTGTAAGATTCCTATGTAAAGAAGCCTTATAAAAAAAAGTACCGACTGTCTTCGATAGCTGGTTTCCACAAAGAGCTATTAGAGATGTTGATGAGAATACTAGTTTTCAACTTGTAAAAATAGAAGACCACTATGCCTAACCTGCATGTCCATTTGAATGATTTATAAATCAAAATCAGTGCATTCATTATGTGCAAATGCCCACAATACAATTACAAAGCAGATTGAGCTTAAATTGCCCTATTCATGTATAATTTCCCCAAATGCATGCACAACACCTTGGGGATAACAATAGCCCTTCCTTGGAGACTTTAAGGTGATCTTCTACTTCTTACTCCAATTTATCAGAGAACAATGTTATTTGTACTTCAGCTGATGATGACTACATCCTGTTGAACTTGTTGCACCATCACAAATGCACCAAATGGATTGATTCTGTTAGTGACTGAAACTGACAGACAGCTTACCTAAAATATGCTTACACATCTAACTGCTCAGTCATACATTTACTGAGTTGCCTGCTGTCCATAACAACTTCTAATTGCTCCCTACTATGGCTTTACATGACCCTCTATCATCACAGAGGAAGTGACCAAGGGGGAAAAAAACCTCTGTAATGCTGCTGTCATGGAATATTGCATGATAAGATCTAAGTTCCCCAGATTCATGAACAATTCTACACAATTTGAAATCCTATTATTCTCATCAACATCTCTAATAGCTCTTTGTGCTTTATAGGAAAAAAGTCCTAATTGTTCTTCTTATAACTGTGGCTGCCATGAGGGCTTTTTAATTGTCTATCTAACTAAGGATATATTTTCTGAATGATGGGAAGGGAATTGCCTCAGCTTTGATGTTATCAGCAGAGCCTTTCTGCCTAAAGCTTGGCCTTGAATAAGAATGGCCACTATGGATACTTGATTCTTGCCTAGCAGCCTTGCAGAATCATTTGCTTTTATCTTGCATGCTCTTTCCATTCCACTTTATCTTTCTAGCTTCCAACAAGGAAAAAATGCCAATGTCCTTGAAAACACAAAAAGGTATATTATGGAACCTTCCCAGATAAACCCACATTCTCAAGAACATTAAGGGAAATGTGGCATGTTTGAAGGTAGGGCTTGTCCTTGTAATTTTAGCATGGCTAGGTGGCCATTTGCTAAAAGAAACTCATGCCTTCTTAGTAGCAGTATAATGCTCCTCTAGAATACTTTGTGGAGTTGCCCCACTGTTGATGAATCAGCATCATCACCATCCATCAAGGTGATGTGTTGTCGAGGGGCTTTTGACACTCGACAGGTACTTTCTATTGTTGTACACACAACTTGCTGTATGAGAGATTTTAAGTTACAGCTTTTAATGTCAACCATTAAAAGTTAATCATAGACGGATATTATTAGTGCAGTCTGGTGGCAATTATTGACTACCACATTCATATCTAAGATTTGAGATCTAATTTTATTTTCTAGTTCAAGTTATAACTTGTCCTCGATCTTCAGTTGGAACGTATCTTCCAAAATTGTTAACTCTCCCAATCAGGTAAGGTATGATTACTGGTTGAACCAGCAATTGACTTGAATTGTGTATTATTGCTGTTGCTGTTGCTGTTGCTGTTACTAGAACACAGTAGACTTTTACGAATGAAGGCGTGTCCCAAGATAATGTTGCAGGATCCAATCTGGATCAGTCACTGGGATGAGAGGTTTTATCTTCTGAGCTTTGGACTCCTGTTGGAACCCATCTTCAGGAAACTTCTCTCTAGCAGAGTGTATGCTGTTCCGTATGAGGTACTTATAGTGCCTGTTATAAGTGGCTTTTTAGATTTGATAGGGGTGTGTTGATGTCTGGCTTTTAAGTCATTAGCTGTTGTTTGCTTGTGCTGTCCAGCCCTCACCTTCGAAAGACTTGAAAGGCTGGTGGTAAATCAGCACTTCTGTTGATTGACAAGGGGCCTATTTCCCAGACTTCAATCACTTCCCTGGTTGTTTTTGTGCCTGCTTGTCCAACAATCTTAGTAGCTGCAAAATTGAATGTGTGTCCTTGTTCATTGCAGTGTAAGGCTACCAATGAGTTCAGGTCTATTTGTCTGACTGGTTGCTTGTGTTCTTGCAATTGGGTGGTTAGCTTCACTGTCCTACATAGTCACAGAGGCAATCCATGCAGAGGATTTGATGCATTACATTGGAAGTATCTTCCACTTCCAGAACCGGGCAAAACCGGTTCGGTGACATCATATCGTCACTGCTACCGGCTCAGTGGAATTGGGCCGAACCGGGAGGAACCCACCACTGCCTATGAGCCAATGTTTCCTGCCAAATCTGCTGCAGTTCTAAAAAACCCTAATGTGAGCTTTGTGCATAGACTTTCCTTGGCTGCTCCTTTTGTTCCCTTTAATCATTAATTAATTTCCCAAATTAATCAGAGAAGAAGAAATAGTAATTGTACAATCTTACAGTACTTCAACTCTGTGTACCTTAACTACCTAAACTACGGTAAAGAACTGCAAGGTGCTAGAATTGGCCAAAGCAAGGGAGAAAATTGGCCCCTTCTATCAGTTCTGAAAATGGCCCTGAAAAGGTTAAAAAATAATCCTGTCTCAAGTGAGCAGGTAATGGAAGAGAAAATAAGTTATAGGCAGGTATTTCTAAGTGTTAAGAATTATGGGTTCAGAGAAGGCAATTCATCCATTATACAGAGAAATTATCAGAGAACGTGAAAGAAGAAAGGATATGTTTTCTCTTTTCTAAGCTCGCTATACTATTACCCCCTAATGATATATTAAGGTGCCTTATATCAGTCTGCTTGTTCATTTATCTGTGCTGTCTCTTCTTACTGATAGCAATTCACAAGAGTGTCAGGCAGCTACATCATCTATTATCTGATCCCTTTAAAGCAGTGATAAGCAACTTTTTTAGGAGACAAAAATCTGTTCCAGCATTGGATGTTGCCATTTCATTTACCTACACATGACTAAATATCTTTTTTCTCTAAATTTACAGAATAGTTAGCAGTTACTTTATTTTTAAAATTGTGTTACACTTCCTTTTTGTTGGGAGATTCAAATCCAATAGCACTGATTCTTTAGCATGTTATCATTTATTGACCACAAGGGAAAACTGAGTGTAGCTAAAGAGTTAAGGATTTCCTATGTGTACATACTTTGTCTATCACTGTGCATGCTCTTGTCCAAGGGATCCTTAACCTGAGGTCAATTCCTTCTGCTTTTATTTCCAGACACATACCAGATTAATAACATACTCTTTTACTTTCTCTTGGTAAATACAGTTGACTAGATGCTAAACTTTATATATTCATATAATGTATTCTGTAGAAATAAATCTCCTTTCTGATATAGTTAATAAATCTGCCTGTTCATTTAACCAATTTCTAAGAGCACCTTTAATCCTTAATCAGATCAGATTCCTACTCTCAAGAATGCTCAAATTGCACACACAGAACAGTTTCTGACTGTTCCTTATAGTTCCCTTGCCATTTTGAGGTGATTTTTACTTCAAAATGAAATAATTTATTCTCAATAATTATAGACAAAAGTTTCAGGAATCTCATAAAAGAAATCTGGATATATTGTTTTTGCCTGCAACTCTTGTTATAAAACTATTAGCTGACTCTTATTTCAGGACAACTAAAAGCTTGAACAAAACTATTTCTGTTAAGATCTGAGTATACACACATATACTCACATAAAGACACACAAACACACACATATATGTATGTACATAAACACAGAGACATGCACAAAGTATACGTATGACAAAGAATGCACACAATTTTAAACTGATTGGGTTAACAAAAGCTATTCTAATTTATTCCATTCCATTTTTTTTAAAAAAACGAGCTATTTGACATCTCTGCTTTTGAAATGGCATATGTAACTATATGAGTTTACATTTTATTATTTTGTAATTTTAAACACAACACAATATATCTTACAGCAGTGATGGCTAACCTTTTTGCCATTGCGTGCCAAAAGCGGGGGGAGTGCGGGGTGGTAGCGCATGTGCGTGCCCGCATGCATAATTCTATGCACCCTGGGCCCCCCTGCACAAGCACATGTGATTCCCCCCATGGTCCCCCCATTTTTGGCATGTGATGGCACAATGGGCCCGGTAGGCCCGTTTTTCGTCCTCCCAGGCTCCAGAGGCTTTCTAGGAGCCGGGGGAGGACGAAAACAGCCTTCCCCACACACCCCCAGAGGCCTTCCAGAGGCCAGAAACAGCCCATTTTCCGAATTCCGGTGGGCCCAGAAGGCCCGAAAATCAGCTGGCCAGTGTGCACATGCGTGCTGGAGTTGAACTAGGGCAACACTCGCGTGCCCATCAATATGGCTCCGCGTGCCACCTGTGGCACGCGTGTCATAGGTTCGCCATCACGGCTATACAGTTTATTTGTTTGTATTAATTTTTTATACTGTCTTATTTTTATTTAACTCAATGAAGTGAGTTTGGTTTTAATTCCTAGAAACAGTCTGGCTTTAGTGGTATTTGAATAGATACTGAAAAAATAAATTGTATATTTAAAATTTATTAACATTTATTTTAAATATTTAAACATTTCAGAAATAGTTCATTTTGTTGCTTAGCAAATTTATTTTTGTGCAATCAGGATTAATGATTTTTGTTCAACATGTTATCCACACAATTATATCAATCCTTGACTATCTCAGACAGTTCCAATGCAGAATTTGGGAGTTCTCATAGATTCATGACACTTGTTCAAGGAGCAGGCGGCAGTTGTGGCTAGGAGAGCCTTTACAGAACTTTGTGGCTAAAAGAGCCTTTTCAGAAGTTTCAGAAAGCTGAGCCCTTTCCTGAATCCCGAGGAAATGCACTCAGTCATTCATACTGTGGTTATCCCTCACCTGGATTATTGCAATAATAATGATACTTGGGGGTATATTTGAAGAGCATTAGGAAGCTACAACTGGTCTGGAATGCAGTGGTATGGCCAACTGGCAGAATCAGATTTTAAAGGTCTCACTTTATGAGGTGGATCTCACTTGGAGAGGTACAACATTTCAGAGGGGAGAAGCCACAGCAGTTAAAGGCTTTTCTCCTGGACTCCACAGCTGGAATTCCTTGGCTGACAGGGTCTGCAGGATGCCCCTTCTGCCAGCATGAGTAGGCCAGGTGAAGCCCATCAGGGTGAGAACGTTTCTCAGGTAGCTTGGATCTATGGATCTCTTGAGTAAAAACATTTCTTCTAAAAAGAAATTAAAGTATGAGTGCACACTGACATTGAGACAAAATTACAGTAAGTAATTAAGAATTGAGGAAGGTTTTATTGGCTAGGATTTAATCCTAATTGATTGATTGATTAGGATTGAGTTGAATGGGGAATGCTCCGGGGGGGGGGGCGGGGGGGCTTTCATAGTTTTCTCGTATTTCTGCAAACTTGAAAATTCCTCAAAGAGATGATATCTTGCTTGTTTCTTAATTAGTCAGTGGAGTAATTAAGAAACAAGGACAATGGAAAGAAAAATAGGGGGTAATGGATTCTTGGACGGTTAGTGATTATTTGGATTAAGTCCTAATCAACAATAGTTCTATAGAATATATGGACATACTAAAACTTTTATTACATGTCTTTTTCTTTTTCTTTCTTTTCTTTTTCTTTTCTCTTCTTCCAGAATCTGAATTGTCTAAAAGTAATGAACAAAGTACTTGCTTAGACATGAAAGAGAACAATGAAATCAATCTAGCTGAAGCAATATTTACAGTATTGTCTTATTGCACTTTATCTCCCAAATCTCTTGCTGATGCCCTTCAGAACTACATGGAAAAAGAACACATTTGGGATTTTTTACATAATATATCAGGTATGTATAATGTAATAAAATATATCTTGAATATTATATACACAGTTTTCTTGATTTACAAGGTGTGTTAAAACATAGATCTTAAATTATTCAATAATACAAGCGTTCTCTTTCCCTCCAAGATGCTATGGTATAGTAATTAGGGCAAGATAGTGTTTTAGACCTGAGTTGATACTGTTGAATATTACATTTGTTTTCATCAGTGAAAACAATTTCATATATAAAATATTAATTCTGCAAGAATTAATGTGGCATTTGGACAGTAACATTATTCCTCTGAGAACATTTAATTTCTGTCTTTGAGATATTTTGAAATACTACAGAAATTACTTCCTACTCATCTTGATATGTAGTACCCCTTGGCACTTTCAATTTGAACTTCATTTCAGGGATAAACTATATGAAACATTAATCATGTAGTTTGTCCTCAAGTGCAGGACAGTTTTTTCACAAATAACTGTCACAGAGGGATAGATTGGGACACTAGCAGGGAAGAACTTTAACTACTTGTTCTTCTGCAGTCCTCTCAGATTCACCCCATGTCTGAGTTTTAACTTTTCATTTATGTCAGAGAAGCTTACATAACTTCTTCAGTAAAATAGTATATGTTAGCCTTATAAGGCTTGGGATTGTGAGGCTGAGAGAACAAAGTCAGTCTGGTGGTCTGGAACAAGTATCAGGTATATATTTTTTTTACAAATATTCTTTGTATTTAATTTTTTGAACTTTTCCTTTTTTTAGTCTCATAATCAAATATCTCAAGAGAATGATAATATGATGATAATAATAATAGACATTATTTTTCTAAATGTATGTCTACCAAAAATATTTAACAGTTGAACCAGTCATAGAAGCGTTTTTAAATTTTAAACAAACAAACAAGCAAACAAAAGAAGTATTGTGTTGGATGCTAGTTGTAATCATTTTTATTTTTTCCTTTAAAGTATTCTACTGAGAAAAATAAATGTTTAAAGTTACAATAATTATGCCATACAGAAATTTAGTTCCATGGGTTCTATTTATGATAAGAATCTAGCAATTAAAACCAAATGAAACTTTATAAAAATCCTAATATTGAAATTTACTCAACCCTGAGTTGTTTCACTATCATCAATGTTTTTTGTTCTGTAGTTTCTAGTTGCAGTGAGTCAGAGCCAGAAGTTGTCAAATGCTTGAAATCGACTTTGATTAATTCAGTTAACGGAACAGTAAAGGAGGTAATTTCCTTGATGCATTCATGGGAAGCATCAGAGAAATATGGCACCTATCTGCCTAATAAAACTGTTCCTGAAAGGTTGTTGAGTACAGTTCCAAAGGAATGGAACTATATTTATAAAGATGTAAAAACAGAAGAATCTGGGAAATGTAAGTATCTTTACTTAAACCTGTCAAAATATTAATTAACTGTTTAATGAAAATATGTAAAAATAGAAGAGTTTTCAATCATGAATATCTTGGTAACCACTTTATTGTGGTTTTTTTGTTTATTAATAGAATAGTTGACTTATTTTCTTTAGAAAGTTAATGGAAAAATAGGTATAATTTTAATAAAGAGGATGCAACAAAGTAAATCATGTTCAGAGGGCAGGAAGAAAGAGCTCTTTACAACTGAATATTCTGACATTTTACCTAGAATTCTCTGTTGTAGTTGAGCTCCGTCATTTCTGGACTAAAGAACTACATTTACTCTCAGTACGTAGAGTTGCTCTATCTGTTCCATTGTAGGAGTTGGTGACAGTTATTAAATGTCTGTAATTCACTTAAATGGATGCGTTAAAAATATTGAGAACATGCTAACCATAAAGCACAGTTAAATAAAAACATTTAAAATGTTTTGGGAATGTAGTGTAAATTAGAAGCAATATGTACTCTTAAAATTAATAATGTAATTAAATGAATGTTTGTAAATAGGTTTGGCAGAATAAGAAGTATTTTTTTCAATTTCAATTTTTTTTCCTTGCAGCAAATTTAATTTAATTTAATTTAATTAATTAAATTTATATGCCGCCCCTCTCTGAAGACTCAGGGCGGCTCACAATACATTTAAAAAAATAATTATAAAAAAACATTGAAAAATTAAAAACATTAAAAACATTAAAAACTCATTCACGCCATTCATGGCCGGATCTCGCCAGATCACAAGAGCAAGATCAACGGCCCCAGGCCTGCCGGAAAAGCCAGGTCTTCACCGCTTTTCGGAAGGCCAATAGGGTGGGGATGGTCCGGACCTCAGGAGGTTACTGGTTCCAGAGAGCTGGGGCAGCCACAGAGAAGGCCCTCCCCCGTGGGCCCACCAGCTGGCATTGTTTAGCTGACGGGACCCGGAGGAGACTAACTCTGTGGGATCTTACCGGTCGCTGGGAGCTATGCGGCAGAAGGCGGTCTCGAAGATAACCTGGCCCTGAGCCATGTAGGGCTTTAAAGGTAATAATCAACATCTTGAATTGTGCCTGGAGACCAATAGGGAGCCAGTGCAGCTCGCTGAGAATTGGTGTAATGTGGGTGTACCTAGGTGTACCCGTGACAACTCGCACGGCTGCGTTCTGGACCAACTGTAGTCTCCGAACACTTTTCAAGAATAGCCCCATGTAGAGCGCGTTGCAATAATCTAACCGTGAGGTGACAAGGGCATGAGTGACTGTGAGGAGAGCCTCCCGATCCAAGTAGGGTCGCAATTGGTGCACCAGGTGAACCTGTGCAAAGGTCCCCCTAGCCACATCTGTCAGATGTTGCTCTAATCTTAGCTGTGAGTCTAGGAGGACACCCAAATTGCGAGCCCGTTCTGAGGGGGACAATTTCTCTCCCCCCCCCCAGAACCAAGGATGGACAATCAACATAGTCTTTAGGAGGCAATACCCACAGCCACTCGGTCTTGTCTGGGTTAAGTCTGAGCCTGTTGACTCCCATCCAGACCCTCACAGCCTCCAGGCACCGGCACATCATATCCACCGCATCACTGAATTGATGATATATGCCTCCAAGTACACTTATAGAATATCTTGTATTCATATTGCTATAAGTTGCATTAGCTTCCAGGCAACCAGAAAAAGTCATGTCAATGAGCTCAGTGGCCACAAAAATTTAATAAACAAATAAACTAACAATATTAGTTGTTGTGAGTTTGTAACACTTTTAGCAGCACGGGATGGGTACACTACTGTAAAAATATGATATGGCCTATTGAAAGGAAAGAATTTGCTTTTACAAGATTTGCACACACATAATAACAAAATCATTTGTTTTACTGTTCTGTAAATATTGTACACTGGAGCTTTATTGAAAAAAACCCCAGTAAAATGTGTCCTTTCACAATAGCTAGCTAAATAACCCAATCTAAACATCTGAATTTATGAAGAGCAGATTAATCATTCTAGGAAAGAATAAAATAAAAATAAAAACACATTCCAAATGGGCCTCTGCCTGTTCCAGTGTTCACATGCAGTGCCTAGTCTCTATCAGATTTTATCTGCATGGTTGAAGAAATGGTGATCAGGTTGGCTCAGTCTCATAAGCCATAATGGACAGATGAGTGAGAGAAATGTGTGACAGATACAATTAAATTAAATTAATTTACATTAATTTTATAGGTTGTAACTCATTGTAAAATAAAACTGTTTAATCTTAATTATATCTGACTTCATTTTTCTTTTAGGTTTCACAAGGCTTGCTGCTCAAGTTCTATCTATTGTAATCAGCAAGTTACCTTCTGTAATAGCATGTTTGCCATCCCCAATTAAATATTTCTTTTTAATATCTGATAAAAAAATACCAGAAAAGTTTATTGAATCAGAGAAATACGGTTTTCTTGTCAAGACGTTGATTATAATTATATGTCAGATATTTGAGGATGGAAACATCACAGAACTTTTAACGGGTGCAATTCTTGACAGATGGAGCAAAGAAAAGCTCAGTTTAGTTTGCATATGTTTGGAAACTATTATAGGAAAAAAGAAAAAGAATCCTAAACAAGTAATTCATAAGATAATTCAGAGCATTGAACAGGAGAAGCCAAACTGGATTGAAAAGCAACTACTAAAAGCAAAAAAACTGAGCACAGAATGGTAAGAAACATTTTTCTTCTTTGTTGTGCTGCTGCTGCTGCTGTTTAAGTATAGTTCATGTTCAAATAGTTTATAACAAAATAGTTAATTTTAATTAATTATAATAAAATAAAGTACAATAATTTATAATAGAGTCATCTCTAGAGAAATGGGTGGCACATAAATCCAATAAACAAACAAACAAAATTTGAAGTAAATAGTACTTGGTTCCAAGAAAGCCTTCTTAAAATGAATAGAAAACAAGAAAAATATTTTCCTTATTTGTCCTTTCATTACTTAGAGTTTGACCATGAATTTTGCTATGGAGATTAGACCGTGCTTTACATAGAAGCTTTCTATTAGATTATATGATTGGTATTAAATAAGAACCTTTAATATTGTAATATAAAAATAGACTTAAAGGAAAATTGAAGCATTTCAGAAAAGCATTAAAATGTATATTTCACAATCAGTAATTGAAAGATTTGTTAGCTGAATGAAGGTAAGTATTTTATGTCTTTCTGACATGTATCTTTATCATCTACTGATAATGATTATAAGAATACATGTGGCATGTTGCATACTTTCCAGATGATACTAGATGATTCTGGAGTTCACTGTACTTTATTTCTGTTTTTTTAGGGCAACCTCTTTAATTTCTGAGAAAATAATACAAATTCTCTGGGGGAAAAAACATGTGGTCATTCTATTCAAGTCCTTCTAATTATTTAATGGGCTATACTCAGACTACTTACACTTCCAGCTATCTTTAGCCTGGACTATAGGAGAGGTCATCTTTGAAACTCTCTCATGTCTTTATGTCTTTGAAGGGTTTTCGGTCTTTGAATCAAAGCCTTACTACATTGCCCAAATCCTGGGTCCCTTGAAGTAAATGTGTGTATATGCATTGTTATGTTTCTGTATCTTTGGGTTTCTTTCTTTCTGTCAAACACTGTATAAAGAAAGATGTAAATGCCATTGAGTCTCAGAGATCCAGGGGAAACTTATAACCCAGTAAATCCAGTTTCTTTTTTGCTGATGTTCCAGACAGATTAAACTAAGAGAGGGTTATATATACCCTCTCTTGGGCCTTGCCCTTGAGCTTCCTGTTGCAAGGGCATGTATTCTGTTGGTTGCTGTCAGATTCCCATGGGGCTATGCAGGGGTCATAGCTAACTTTGTAGGTGCTGATGTAGGGACTTGTGTGCAGTTCCTATTGTGGCTGAAGGCTAAATTTACCTTTGTTCAGAGCCACACCTTGCTGCAGGCAGAAATGGATTACCAAATCTGCATTTCTAAATTACTGCCCCAGCTCAGTATCTGCTTGGGGGGCAGGGGGCAGGGAGCTGAAGCTCTGAATTTCTGTCTCCCTTAAGGTTTCTATTTCTCTTTTAGAGAAAATATAATTTTCTTCCTTCTTAATATTTCTCAAAATATTTAATTTTTCTAGGAGATGGATGGGTGCTAACTTTCTACAATAGTAAAATGTAAAAAATCAACTCACAAGTTCCTCAATATGACCAGGTTTCACTTCTAAAATCCTTTTGCATTTTTTTGTGCTTATTGCAATTTCCATTATACTTTTTATTTTGCAATAGGCTACTAAGATTTCCTACTAAAATAATTGAGTTTTGTGGTGCTACTTTGATACTTTGGCTATATCCCAAATAAATACATTGAATTCTTTCAGTGCACTTTATATATGTGAACAGTCTTAACTGAAGAGATTGTTGTATTAGTGATACAGGGTTAAATTCACAAAGATGTATTTTTGGTCATTGTTTAAATATCTATTGTGGTTATGTATCGGGAGGTGGTTTAATATCTGAGGCACATTCCTGTTTGGTAACATAATTTAAGCTCAAGTGATTCAACATGATTTACTTTCATCCTGGAGCCATAAAGCACCATTTCAAAAGTGTGTCTGATGAGGCAATGTTCTCTCACTCAGAAAAGAATCCTTGGCCTCATGTGCTTCGGGGAAGGGCACACTGATGATGCTTATAGTTCTTGCCACATTTTTCGCAGGATAATCTGCTTGCAGGTTTTATTATAATAGCAACCCTTAGAATTCTTACCTTCCCATTTCATTCTGTTCATTGTTTCTTCTACTGTGGCCTCCGTGGCTGCACCACTAATTTGAAGACACACTCTTCTGTGAAGGTGAGAGAACTTAATTATAAGTTGGTGGAATCTTCCATAGTGCATTCAGTCACATCAGGCTTGACATCAGTTGATTCTGCCACACTTTAAGGAAAAGTAATTTGTATCCAAAATAAAAGCACAAGTCCTTACTTCTGAACACTGAAAATCTCTAGATGGAGGAAAAGTAAGTGAAGCATCCACCAAAGTTACATTTTCCCTGATATACTAGAGCTACCCGCAGTGAAATTATTAGATTAACAATGCTGTGCCTTCTCTACTCATAGGACTGTGAACTTTGCTCTAACATTTTCTTGTATCAGTATTAGTGTTCTACTTCAGGGGGGAAAAAATTGAAGCAGTTTTGGGAGCAGTCAGTGGAATCAATAGATTTGGTGCTTGTCTCCTTTAATCTGCTATCAGTGAGTGATTATCTGGATCATCAAAGGAGTTTATTTTCTTTTCTGCTCCTGTTGATACTGATTGGATAGGATGATAATGATGATATCCATTCAGTTGTGTCTGACTTTTGGTGATTCTATAGGTTTCTCCACATCTTCCAATCTTGCACTACTTCTTTGAGTTTTTCTATGACTGGTTTCAGGTTTGATGGTGTCCAGCCACCGTGTTCTTTTGTGGCCTGGTTTCCTTTTACTGTTCCTACATGATCTACAATGATAAAAATTAGGTTGTAGATTGAGTTACTTAATTAGATAGTTGTATTTATATCCTGCCTTCCATTGACCAATTTTTCCCACTAGAAATTTGCAGGGTAGGTTGGGCTGACATATTGTGACTGGCTGCAAGACACACACACACACGCACACACACACACACACGCACACACACATCTGGTTTTTTTTCTTGCATCTTTTAAAAACCATTCTTAAGCTCAACCAGATCTTTCTGGATTTGCTTCAAGATTTGTACTTGAGCCATGATTTTTTTTAACAAGATAATTGAAGATTCTTCTTCTGCCATCTTTTCTGGCTCAGCAGATAATGACACACAGTTGGAATTTAGCTAGGTGTTATCTGTATGAGTCTCACTTAAAACAATTAATTTTTAATTTAAATTTCATTTAAAACAAGAAAATATATAATACAAAAATTTAATTACCCAGTGATCAGAGTCTTTATGCAGAGGGTCTGATAATACAGGAGTTTGAAAACCCTTAGTCGGGAGAGAAACGAGAGACAGGCCTATAGTTCCATCTCAAAAGTGGAAGTCCAGCATTGCAATTGTGTTCATGCAGAATTCTCTGATAATCCTGGAATTCATTGTTACTCAAAGATGATGTTCAAATAATATATTTCCTATATTACCCATTTATCCAAAGAACATAGGCAGTTGTTTTTAATTTCTATTAGTGGGCATGGATAGAAAGAAGATGACTGTTAAGCAACTGTCCAAAGGAAACTGGCTTGTTTTGGACTTATTTCCTCAGACAGGGAAAGATTCTTTGGAAATATGACACTGTGTGCTCTGGTTGGCACAACTCCATTTTTAATAAATGGCTACATTAAAAAACACAGTTATAGTTTCCATGTAAACTAGGAAAAATGAAGCAAAAAAAGAATGTTTGTATTTAGGATATTGCTTTTTTACTATCCTCCTGAAACATTTATTAAATTTGATTGTGTGTAATTTTATAAACTTTGTAGTATATATATATATACATATATATACATATATATACATATATATATATACATATATATGTAGGTCTTTGGTTATTCGGGTCTTCTCCCACGTAAAATTGGAAGTGTCTTGGCGACGTTTCGACGAAGTCTCATTCGTCATCTTCAGGCTGGTGTTCTCGGCTTCGTGCTTCCAGGAGCAATGTGAGATCGCAGCTGTCTCTTCCTTTTAACTGCTAGTGGGGGTGTGAGCTGATTGGGTGGGAACTTGGCTGTGTTCTGATTGGGTGGAGGTGTGTTCTGATTGGTTAGGGGCTTGGCTGTGCTCTGATTGGCTGGGGGTGTGTTCTGTTTGGGTGTATATATATATGTATATATATATATATGTATAGTTAATATTTCGGGTTTCTTCCCGTGTAATTGTGGATATATCCCTAAAAGGGTAGAAGCGACGTTTCGGCAGAATCCCATCTGCCATCATCAGGCTTATGCCAGTAGTCATTTTGCACTAACTGACGTTGGAATTTCAAATCTGGTGCTGGTATTCTGGGATGGCTCCACCTTTTCATTCTGATTGGTTGGGAGTCCCAGTATGTGTTTATTGGCTTGGCTTCGGGTGTATGGTCGGTTTTTCTCCACTAGGTGGCAGGGCTTTATCTTTGTGGCTGGTTTGAATATGATTTGGTTGGGATTTTTTTGTGCAATGTTTGGTCCATGTTCCACATATGGTGTCAAGATTCGTCTATCTATGAGAGCAGGTTTCCAAATAGTAGGCAGACGTGAAGTGTCATCCCGTTTATTCATGCAATATGGTCTTTTTTCCATTTCTATTGCTTCTCTGATTATCCTGCCATTGAGATGTTCTATTTTTGCAACTGTTTTTGTTTTATTAAAATTAATGTTGTGTCCTGTTGTATTTATATGTTGAACTAATGATGATGTGTGTTCTTGCTTTTGTATTGAGTTTTTGTGTTCCTCGATGCGCACACTCATTCTTCTGTTGGTCTGTCCAATGTATGTTGATGGGCAGGAAGCACATGGGATTTCATATATGCCTTGATCTTCTAATTCTATTTTGTCTTTGGGGTTTCTACCATCGTCCATTCTGATGATGGCAGATGGGATTCTGCCGAAACGTCGCTTCTACCCTTTTAGGGATATATCCACAATTACACGGGAAGAAACCCGAAATATTAACTATACACACATACATACCCGTGAAAACTTACATAAACATATATATATATGTATATATATATAAATTTGATTTATATGCTGCCCTTCTCCGGAGACTCAGGGCGGCTTACAGTGCGTTAAGCAATAGCCTTCATACTTTTGTATATTTTATACAAAGTCAGCTTATTGCCCCCACAAACCGGGTCCTCATTTTGCATATGTTAAGAAAATTAAAGTATCAAATGTAGTTTTGATTATGGTATATTTTGAAGAATATAATCTTAGCTTAATAAAATATTACAATTAACAGACATAAATTTCATATTCGTAGAAATAGTGGTCAGAGTTATGGGAAAAGTTACAATTGTATTCATTGTCTGTCTTGTACATTAAACTATTACTAAAATAACCTTCACTTTATTATTAACTACTCCCCCCCCCCAAATTATAACTTATCAACTAAGATTGTGGAGAATACACAGTCTCAAAAGAAATGTCTGCTTTCAATGTAATTTGTTGAGTCGAACATTATTATTTTTCATTATGGTGACCCTGAGTTGCCTGACTGGGTGCATATAAAGATTAAGATGAATGCAGTTATTCCTTGGCTGAGGTCTGCCTCTTTCAGGGCACATTCTCCCTAATGACATGATTGATAGGCAGTCCCAAATCTAGAGAGGAACTCATTAATCACAACACTGACTGAATCCAATCATTTGCTTCACCTGCAAAGTGATGGACAGGAAAGGATACAGTTTGTGTGCTGACACTGAAACAGTCATTTGTCAGAGGGCCTCAACTTTTTCAATGTCATCCTGTAAGCAGCTTGACATAACATTCAGCTGCACTACTATACAACTTCAAAACACTACTTTTTAATTTTGCTATGCTTGTAAAGATGTAGTTCTTTGGAAACTTTTAGATCAAATGTAATGATAGCATATATCTGCAGAATTAAATTGTAGTAACTATAATTTCAAATTATTTACTGCCTTGAGTATTCTGAAGTGATGTATTAGATTGTAATATTAATTACTGGGTTCTATGCACATACATGCATCATGCAAATAGATTTAAATGTACTTAAATTTGTTGCTTATTTATATATAAATATATATATTTATGCCTATGGTCCTATGTATGTTTATCTGAGGATGGGCCCACCTGAATTTAATGAAGCTTAATTCTGACGTGACATATACTAGAGTGCAGATAAGAATAAATACTTGGTTTTCATTGAGAATGTTGTACTATTGGCTCTACTATAATTAAAAATGTTATAATAGCTTTTGGAGTTTCTAAATTGCTAATTGAGGATGGATGCAGTGCTGTGATGCAGTTTGAAACTTATAATCAGATCATAATATATTGAATAATTAATATTAGAATGGGAATAGTTTGGTAAATCAGCCCAGGTGTCACATACAAAAAGGAAGTGCAAGCTTTTAACAATTTGTTGTTTTCCCAAATTGAAAATTGATATAAGATTATTCAGTGAGTAATACCTTGAATTTTAAAAAAAGATTTTAAAATCTTAATATAAGTTAATATAATAATATAATATAATAATAAAGTTAATATAATGACTACTTGTGTGGTGTGTTAATTGGGATTTAAAATAATGTAATAAAATAAGAAACCAAGGTTACGTTACCAAAAGTGTGCTTTTTTTGGTTAAGAATAATAAAAAGCATGTAATTGTCTTATATTTTTATATTAAACATGTTTTTCATATAATGTTTTCCTTTTTTTAGGATACTATTTCATAAAGTGAGAAGAGTTTAGCATGTTTTTAATTTGAAGTATTGTGTTTTCTTTTTACTGGGGTACTTGTTCATAAAGAGAGGACACATATATTTAAAAAGACAAGCAGAAAGGTAGTTGTAACAGTAAAAAGATACCTGCAAAGTTACATTTTTCTCTTCTTTAACTACACTGAGGGACTTTTGCAAAACGGTGTTTCTATCATTTTATCATATAATCACACACTATAAGGACTGAAGAGCCCAAATCAGGAAATGTGACTATATTGGTCTCCTGGATTAAGGCTCTATCTTTTGGCAATATTCATTGTTTCATATTGTAATACTTGTGCTTCCTTTTTAGTACAATTACTACTGCAAAAGATAGTAGGAACTCAGAAGAGGAAACTATTGAGCTTGAATTGACTGAGCAGAAAATAAACATGATGGCCTTGGATATCTGCCACAAACCAGGTGGCAGTGAATACCTGAGGCAAATTTATCACATCATCCAGCTCAATGAGGTAGGGAAACGGCCTTTTTTACCGAGCAATTAGGTGTGTAGTGGCCTGAGGCAGCATCTGCTGGCAGCTAAGGGTTACTCAAGGAGGTGATAATGCTTCCTAAAGTCAATACCTGAGTCAATACCTCACTGGGTTACACTGTTCGCTTTAAGCTTTTCTGAATTTTTTCATAAAAGGTTATTTTAGGGCATTATGTGCCTTTTATTTACGTATATAGACTCTGTCATCCTTCATTAATTGATTTCTGATTTCTAAAACTGACACAAAAAACATTTGTGTAAGTATGTTCAAAATCATTTTGATTCCATTTATTTTTGTTTTGTTTTATTTCCATTTTATTTCAAGGAAAAGTAGATTAATGTAATAATTAAAAGAATATGGATGTGTACAGATCATATTTTTAAAAATATAAGCTTATATTTGTTTCGGCTTTGTGCCAATTGCCCAATGAGTAAATAAGGTAACTTTTATTTTTGAATTGACTTCTGAAGCATTTTTTCTTTGTTACATTCAATACTGTCATTGTTCAATTACGGGCCACTACTGATTAATATATTAGATTCATGTGTAAATTATATAAATGAACAAGATTGCTAGTGTTTTAATTGTAATTTCTTTTGTCAGCTTTACATCATATGTACTAGTTTCTGTGAACATTTCATTTAGGAGCAAACGTTAAAGATGGAATTTGTAACTTGATTATTCACTGTAACTTTGTGTACGGTCTGTTAATTATTTGAGGAATTGCCATTTTGATTTGGGTGTAAATAGGTGGAAGTAAAAATGAAGAACCACCAATCAAGAACAATCACTCAACTCCATAAAGCACTTTTTAAAACATCTCCCAGAGTCACTCATTCAATGTCTTAGTCCAATGCCTAAAGTCCAAGGGTCATATCTCTAGGGATTTTCAAAAAGCCAATAAGGTTGGGCCTGACTGAATTTTAGAGAAAAGTGTTGCACAAAGCAGATGCCACTAGAGAGAAGGATACTTCCTGGGTCCGATCAGATGACATTGCTTCACTGAAAGATGTTAGAACATGCCAACTTTGTTGAATGTGGTAATCAACAAGAATTAATATTGGTCAAGCAGGTAAATCAACTCTGTGCCATAAATCAATGGTCCCCAACTTTTCCGGCTTGGCATACCAGCAGGAAGGGAGAGGGAATGGTTTTGTGCGAGTGGCAGGTATGTGTGTGAGCACGCACAACTCTATTTGCACAAGCAGCCACCGCTCACACAAGTGGAGCTGCTTGTGTGCGCATGCTTGCCTGGCAGTTGTGCATCCCAGTTCCAAATGGGCAGTGGGCCGGTAGTGGGCCACTGCCCAAGGGTTGGAGATCCCTGCCATAAAGGGCTTTACAGATGATACTCAGCACCTTGAATTCTATATGGAAATCTATTAGCAGCTCATAAAGTGGTGGTATAGCATAAGTGCAATGGTATGTGGCCATAGCTATCCACACTGGCATATTCTCAACTAGTGCATCTTCTGAATAACACTTAAGGACAGATCCAAGGCTGCTATCTGGTTCTTTAATAGGAGCCATAATTCCAGGAAGATCCCCAAATTATATTCCAGTTCTGCCTGGGGAAGTGGATGCCATCCTATCCAGTACTAAAGGTGGAAGGTTTCTCAAAATATTGGCCCAAAAACCATTCAATCTTATTAGGGTTGAAACTAAGCCTGTTTCTCCCCATCCAGATTCCCCAGAGCTTCCACACACTAAAGAGGAACCTTGGAATCAAAAGAGGCATAAATGTACAATTAATATTATCAGAGTTCAATGACAGTTCAACTCATGCCACCTGATGACTTCACTCAGTGGTTTTCTATAAAGTTTCAATAGGATTAGGAGTTTACAGCCTGAAGTAGCCCACAAAGCAGGTTCCTAGGGTTTAACCTTCCTCCCCACCCAACAACTGGAACAGCCCTTTAAGGGAGGAAGAAAACTACAACATCATCCCACCCTCTAAATCAGGCCAGGAAGATAGCATGATCATTGGTAATTAAAAGCCATTGTCAAATCAAGGAGGGCCAGGCTAAGAATACCACTGATTTCCTGACTCCTCCAAGGTCATCCACAAATGCAGTCAATGCTGTCTTATTGCTATAGTCAGGCCTGAATTCTGATTGAAAAGAATTGGATAATCTGTTACTTCGAGAATCCATTGAAGCTGAAGCTCAACTACCATTTCCATATTTTTTCCCAAAGAGGAGGCTGGAAATTGGTTAAAAAATATCCCATGCGTCAGGTCTAGTGGTGGTTTTTTGAACAGGGAAAGATTGCCCTTAAAGCCTTGAGGTCATCCTTAATAGAGATTCTTACACATGTTTGGTTGTTTTTGCTTTCTCCAATGATACTTAGGCATCCCTTTTGCTGTTTCATCTCCCATAGATCTTTGAAAACCAGGGGGTACCATCTGATCTGTCCGCACCACAGCAATGCCAGGTGCAAACCAATCTAAGACCATTGTTGCCCTCTCATTCCAAGTGGCAAACAAGGCCTCTGTTGAGCTATGCATCAGAGCCTCAGGAATAATCCCAAACTCACTTTGAAATTTTTCATAATGGGAGCAGTTCAGAAAAATCCAAAAGAATCAGAGAACCATGATTGGGGACTGATTTGAATGCCCTCTGTATCCAGATTGTGTTGCTATTGTCCTGAGGCAAAACCAAATTCAAGCATCCCCTCAATGGATGAATCTCAGTCTGAATCTCATCATGAAGATTTTAGCAGATGTACATAATCTGTTGCAACATGTGCCCTGTGGAACAGCTTCCCCATGGATATCCAGATGGCTTGTTGGCTTTCTGGAAGGCTATAAAAACCTGGCTTTTGCTACAAGTGATAGGGCCAGGCCATGACTTCACAAGCTACTTCTGACTCCATGCTCAAGAAAAGCAAGTTGGAATCCCCTCACACTATTGTGATGTAATCCATTACTAACTTTGCCACAGTTTCAAGCAGCTCAAGCAGGGAAGTCACTGTGCCTCATGATATTGTAGAGTAGCCACAATCCCATCAGTGTGAAATATCTAAAAGATTTATTCTAGATACAAAAGATACAATTATTTAATTATGTTTCTGAAAAATATATAGAAGGAATTTAAATCCTTCATGCATTTACATAACAAACCAAACCTCTTTGTTCTTCTCTGATGTAATTATTACTCAGTTGGAATTCTTTTTTTAAGGATTATTTGAACGAACAGCTATCTTATGATGGAACTTCTGAAGAAGATCCAGCAAACATCAGACATTTATGTCTAATGTTAAGAAGCAAAGAACAGCCTGTTTTTGACCCTTTCCAAGTGCACCACTGGTATTGCACTAATGTGTTAAAAAAGGTTAGTCATTATATGAAATACCTAATGTTGTTTATTGTTTAAATCTGTTAACAAAAGAAATCCAATGCCTAGTTCAGATTGCTTTTGAAAGCCTTGAAATTATAATTCTTTGGATATACATTTACACCATTTGACATGGTGGATGGGACGGGACAGGAAAGAAGGAAAGGAGGAAAGAAGGCAGGCATGCAGGCATTTGCTTTCAAGTTCCTAAAATACAAAATACAAAAAGGATAGTAGTGACATTTATCTTATACAATTAAATAAAGCTTTTCATACAGTTCCAGCACTGGGAATTAGAAGAGGAGATGTACACTGATAATCTACTGCATGCAATAATGAATCATGCTTATAAGTGATTCATAGAAGCAAGGATTGGTATCTGTATTGGCAAGGTTTCTCCTGTTATAGCATCTTCCCCATGTTGCCACCTCATTTCATTCCATTCTATTTCATGTATTATGATTGTACTCTTAAGATTTCATCCAAATACTGTAAATTGAGTTGAGATATAATACTGACCAGTATGGGATGGAATGAATACTCTTGCTAGAAATTGCTTCCAGTTAGGTACAATATTACATGTTAATTGCTTTTTCACATAATAGCAATAGCACTTAGACTTATATACTGCTTCACATTGCTTTACAGCTCTCTCTAAGCAGTTTACAGAGTCAGCATATTGCTCCCAACAATCTGGGTCCTCATTTTACCGACCTCAGAAGGATGGAAGGCTGAGTCAATTTTGAGTTGGTGACATTCAAATTGCCGAACTGCTGGTAGCCGGCAGTCAACAGACGTAGTCTCCAGTACAACATTCTAACCACCATGGCTCTTATACATAAGCACATTTATAAATTGATAAAGATAATAAATATTATTATATAGAAATTTTGAACTTGGTTCAATCATTGTATCTGATGTAAGGGGTTAAGAGATACTCTAATCACCACTTGTGTATTGTTCCCTAGAAGTTTGAAAGTTAAGGCTTTGGGTGTTTTATTGGTTTCTCAAAATTCTTAAGAAGCCAATAGATCTTTTACCAGAAGATTATTGTCTTCTTTTGACCCCTTATGCCTAGAACTATACAACTTGGAACTTTTGGCAGTCTTACTAGCTGGAACATCTAGATCAATCTCATCTCATGGAGAATTATCTTCTTGACTCAGAGCAGCTTCAGATCAGTAATATATAAGAGTGTAACATTCTTGGTGATATTATGGTTTCAAGTGAAATTGACATGTAGCAGAGATTTGAAGTTAATATATTGGTTTACTATGTGAGGCAAACAGCAAATCTGTTCCCAAATTATAACAGGATTGTATCAGAGAGGCTATAATAAATCCCAAATTATTTTGGTTACTAGAAGTAGTTAAAAAATAGATTATGGAGATGTTACCCTATGGAATGTCTGTGTGCAACCCTGCTCCTTTTTCCAACGTGAAATATAGTCTTACCTAAGCAACCAAGTATTACCTAACAATTTGACACAAATCTCAAAGAATGGGATTCTTGCATATAATTTAATTGCCAGAATCTGTGTGAGATGGTTCTGTGGTTAAACTGATGGCCTTTCACTAATTAAGTAGGATTAATTCACCGTAGTGGTACTCATCTTGGTTCCCTTTTTACTTTTGTAGAAAAATCCTCCTTGAATTTTCCCTTTTAATTAAAAAATAAAATGGTTAAGATTGTTTAACCACTGAGCCACCTGGATAACATTTTATAGTTGCCAGAAGAACCAAACAACTCAGTATTTGTGTCTCTGATTTGCAAGCATCTCCCTTCTGTTATAGAAGACAATATTAAAATATCTGAGAGGACTGTTGAAAAACCTCCATCAATTATAGTTGCCAGGTTTTAAAATTCTATTTTCAGAAATAGCAGATTAAACTCCATGAGAAACATAAATCAACATAAACATTAGAACAAGATGGATAAATCTATTATTTGCTTGGTATAATAACTCATATTAATTTCTTGAAATTTGAGTTTGAGGGGGTAGAAGCCACCTCAACATTCTAAAAATTCTTCTTTCATTTTTTATTTTACAAACTCCTCAATTATGTCCTCTCCCCTGGTTTCCCTTTAGATATCATGAAATCCATGAACTTTTGTTTTCTTTACCAGAAATATAAAAACCTGTCTTGTTTTGAAAACTTAGTAACTCAAATCTAGAGATCTGCTGGCCAGCAGATGGTCAGTGTTTACAGCTCTGATACACCTAATTGTCCATTGCAAAAGGAATTAGATTGTTATGAGCCATGCCCCAAACAGATAATCAACATTCTCTGAGTTAGTAGTACTTTTATGATGCTCAGCGGTGCACGCAGATTCTGAAGCAGCAAGAACGTTGCAATCATTGTCTCATATGCTGAATATGTTGTCTCTAGCACACAAACACACACAAACCTTGAGGCAGCCTTGTTGTTTTGGTATCCAGGTAAATCATTCTACAGGGTAATTAACAACAACATTATCTCTATTGCTCTGTAGTGCAACTTTGCAAGATGGCCAACAAGATATACGGTATATATGTCTTAAACTCAAAGGCTTCATATCTTGAGGGAGCCAGTATGGTCACATATGACCTTCTCTGACTTGACTTTGAGCAGCTTGTTAGGCTAACAATAAAGCTGTGCTTCAGTGTGCTGAACCATCAGCTTGTCAGAGCCAGTAACCTGACATACTTGCTTACATATTCAGAGCTGAATTTGACCAGGAATTTATGCACAAAATTATGTTACTTTTTTGTTAATTACTTTGCTGCATTAGGAATTATTTATAATCCCAGTAACAGTGTGAGAGCTATTCCCCATACTGTTCTAGGAAATATTAATAGTGGTAACCTTGGCAATACATGCATGAGACATTAAGGAAGGAGAAATGATAACTTACTCCTGGGAAAGAGAAAATGTGAGAAAGAACTTAAACTGACCTCTCCTTGATTCTGTTTGGTATAAGAAGGGGCTAAGGGAAATTCTGGCAGGCTTTCAAGATTGTGTTTATTAAACCCTATAACAATAAAGTAGCATTTCACTAAAATTTGTGGCATCTCTTTGCTCACTCATCCTGCCTCAAAACATTGAGTGCAGAGGATAGAAAATTGAAAATATTGGCAAAAATTAGTTTGAACATTTAATGAACACATATTTTTATCATATTGTATATTTCTATAAAAAGTTGATAAAGGTACTCATGAATGCTGGCTAAGGTGATTAAGGTTTCATTTCAGATAAATTCAATTCAAATTGAAGATTTGTCTTTTGGATTTTCTGCTGTCTTAAATATTGCTTGACTAAATGGTTAAGTTAAGCTAGGCTTTAATTTGGAATGCAGGTAATATTTTTAGCTGTTACAACTGACTCCTTCATTCATTAATACTGTAGTACTGTAAGACCTTCAAAAGCTGACAACTCTGGGTAGAATTCAGTCACCGTGTGACAGGACTGCATTGCTCTATTAACCTGCAAGTGACAAGCAATTGTTACTGTACAATAGTTACAACTTCAGAAACCTTTGTTATACTACCTCGACTTTGCAACTAAGAGATTTTTGTAAAACATTCTTTCATTATGCTATCATATAAAAATAATCCAGTAAATTGATATTGTTAACAAGTAATCAGATTTTTCTTCAAAATATTCACATAGTTATATCATGTTTTACTACCTTTATTGGTGATTCTATGTTTTTTTGTCATAAGCAAGGTTACAACTAATATTTGGCCATTTATTTGGTAACTTGTGCCTTCTTCTACTAATGACAGTGTAAGGGAAAAGAGAGATTATTGTTGTTGTTTCTTTTTTCCCACTGTACCTTTTTATATTCTCTGGAATTCTTGGAAGTGTTTTCTTCACTCATTTTTTAAAGACTGTGACCCAGCAAGAGTATAGTGGTATGTTTAGATCCTAAGAGATTTCCGTATCCTAAACTTCTGAATATTTCTACTTTGTTAGTTAAAATAGGGATTGTGGAAAAAAAAGAAAGCCTCTGCATTCGGAGTGAGGAAATTGATTTAAATGGAAAACATTCAATTATTGAGTATTTTGTAACTTTATCCTATCCTTTTTTTAATAAATCTTGTTTAAGAAACTCTGGAAAAATCTTGCTATCTATGGAAATGGGATGACTAAGAACTTGATAATCGATGAGTAGGGATTCTAGAAGTAAGCAGCTATCCAGAAAGTCTTAATGGGAAATATTTCAAGATGAAGAACTTCTGTTAAGAAGGACCCTCATGGAAGCTAGGAAGAATTTGTTTGGAAGGCACCATGCAAACCTGAATCAAAATGCTTTAAACTAAATTGTGTGAAGGAGGAGCCGAATCTAGAAAATAATGCAAAGCCAAGCCCTGGACAGGACAGAGAAATATACAGCATGAAGAGACCCAATAATGAGCATATAAATTATGAGCATATAAATACAGGAAAGGATAGGCCAAGTTACATGCCCCCTAGAATCCCAGTATATTTATAAAACAGAGAAACAGAACTAGAAATCCTAACACTGAAAGATGAACATAATTTAGTAGACATTACTGAAAACTGTTGAGATAAAATCTCATGAATAGAATGTAAAGACTGAAGAATATAACATTAAAAAGGGGTTAGGACAGAATTAAAAAAGGAGAGAGATGAGGAAGAGGGCAGTGTATGAAGACCCAATATTGAGAACAAGAATTTGAGTAAAAGACTCCTAATACAAATGCTTGATTAAGAATATAAGGAATGGGGAGTAATAAATATATTATTATAGAAGTCTTAAAGACTTTCAAGCCAGGTAGAAGATCTGGATAATGCCCTTGTGGATGAGATTACAGAATGTTCTAGGTGCCTATAGCTAATAATGGGAGACCATCTGTCTGGATGTCTGTTGGAAAACCACCTTGGGGAAGACTGTAAAGTCCCAAATATTCCTAAGTGGTCTTATTAACTGTTTCATTTTTCAGAAGTTAGAAAAATAAATGATACGAGTGCACTCCTAAATCCCAATTCAGA